ACTTAAATGAACTTAAAATGTGGTTGTCGGCACATAAGTTTTGCATAATATTAAACTTAATTTTGGTCAGAGTTCATATTAAGCATATATAAGAAATTATTCATGTGAACAATATTCTACTTTGTCATTGAATTTTAAGACATGAAAACCCATGCTTAACTAGAATATTGACTACATCAGAAAAAAAAACCAACTCCATTTGTGACTGAGGATTAGAAGTGAAATGTCTAAAATATATTTGCTGCTTTTAAGTAAAAGTAATACAATATTGTGTGATTAGTGGTAAAACTTAATATCGATTGTCCACTGGAACATTGCCTAATCTTTATCATCGACGAAACCATAATCATTTGTAACTTTGAGTTACAACAAAATATTTTAAATATATTTTTTTTCGTTTGTTTTTTTTGGTGACCTCTTTTTATAATTAAAATATATTTTTTGCTAGCTTCGGGTGTTGACATTTTTCTTTAAAGCTTTAACAAATGAAAACCCGTTCTCCATTCTCCATCCTCCACTTGAACATTGGTTATTTTCACACAAAGCAAAATCATCTTCAGTCATTAAGCAGAAAGTATTCAGAGTCATTCATGACAATTGTTGCATCTAGCTGGGAGTTCGGCGACTTTATGACCTGTTGGATTTATGTGGTTCGCTTAATTCGAGTATTACGGGTACATTACAATGGCGCCCTTTCCATATTTGAGTAACGCTTGAGAATCCACCAACGGGAGACAAAAAAAATAAAAAGAGAAGAGGAAAAACAACAATGGGACATATTACAACATTTGGCAAACATTTCAATTCAATAAAAATCAAAAAATCAATTCGTTTAGGGTTTACATACAAATTTCTGTTGTTTGATTTTGACATACATTTTTACATACTCAGCTATTGGCTTTTGGCGAAAACCAAGTCAATTGTTGTAAGCCAGTTTGTTTGATGTGTGCGTGTGAGGCGAAGGGCGGGGCGCAGGGCTTTTAGGTGAACGCGCATGTTGTACAAAAACAAACAACAACAACAATAAAAAAAAGACAACAACATTAATAATATGGGCCTACGTGTTGGCTGTGTATTTTTTTTTATTGTCAACATGCTGCCAACAGCGCCCGCCCTTGACTCAATTAGTTGGCCTGGCCGTGGCGCATGCGCAGAATGCAGAGCCAACTTGCGGCTTAAATGGTTGGACATGGCCAAAAGCTGTAGCTCTATGCATTGTCTAAAGACATTGGCCTAGGCAACGCAAAACGTTGTCAGCATCGCTTATGGCTCATTAGGACATGTGACGATGACAACGATGATGATGATGATGATGATGATGATGAGGATGGTGGTGGTAATGATGATGATGATGATGATTACAATTGCAGCTAGTTTAGTTAATTAGACCAAGCAACCCACAATGCTGCCCACAACTAAGTAATAGTTTAACTTTGCTTGGGCTCAATTGTGCAAGGCAAAGCATCAAAATACAAGCTGCTGCGGTTAATTAAATAACGAGACAGACAGAGAGAGAAGAGATAGAGAGAGAGAGAGAGTGCTTCTTGGTCTAACTTTAATTTGCGACTGCAGCTGAAGTTGCTGAAGTTTGCTTTGGCTGAAGTTGTTGCGCAGCCAGCGCAATTCCCGTTTGCTTGTTTAGGCAACAAGCGTCGCTGCTCGCGTCGCTGCCAGCGTCACAGCTGCAGTAAGCGTTGATAATGGCGTTTCATTTACGAAACTTATTAATCGATTTATATGCGCCGGCACAGAGACAAAACTGGTCGAAAAAAACAACACACACACACTAAACATCAACAAAAGCGACGAGCAAACACTCGGCCAATTTCTTTGGCGTATACAAATACAAATACAGATGCACATGCATTCCAAGGTGAGATGGAAATGCTTACCTGTGTGTGAGTGTGCGTGTGTGTGTGAACCGTTAGCGCTTGTGCCATGACGATGACATGAAACCAAACCTAACCAAACCAAACCAAACCAAAGCAATGCAAAGCAAACAACAAATACAACAATTGCTTGCGCGCTTGACACGTTTAGTTTTGACATTGTCATGCCAAAGCCAAAGAATATTGGCCACCAGCCAGCCACACACACGCACACACACACGCACACAGCCTAAGCCCTTGCCTCAACCCACAACTCCCCTCTCCATCTCTATCTCTATATATATATCTATCTCTATCTCTTTCGCAATAATAATCATAAAAAACATTTGCGCATGCGCATCGCTTTTAATTTAATTTTATTTTATTAATTATTTTGTTGTTGTTGTTGTTGTTCGCTGTATTTTAAAGTGCGTAGTCTCTGTATTTATTATTGCCCCACACCCCTCACAGCACCCCATCTTCCACTTGGATTGTGCAATCGTTGGTTATTAACAATTGGGTATTTCATTTAGTTTGTTGTATTTGACAGCTGCAGTAGTCAAACAATTTTATTTGTATGCCAAAGTTGACAAGTTTCATTTGTCTTTTAAGCTAATGAGCTAGTTAGCTTGGCAGTTATGAGGTATTTAAGCCGACTGCACCTGTTTACCAGCTTTATGACAGTGCACGGTGTAAATTTAACGCAAGTATATAAACATAATGTTTGCCACTAACTTAAGTAATGAGCCAACACACACACACTCATATATATTATTGTTAGTATGTGTATACAATGAGTTCTTAGTCTGAGGCAATAAATATTTATAATTGTATAATTTCAACAGCACTTATGCAAATTTCCAAATAAATGATCAATTAACTTTCTAATTTATCTTCCACTAATGACACTTTTTTCCGTATTTTGCTACCCATTAAATAAGGGAACAGGGGAGTTATGAAGTTGTCCAAAAGTACGTGATATGCCGAAGCAAGTATGTCCGATCCCATAATGTATATATATTCCTAACAAAAATTTGAGTCGATTCAGACATGTTCGTCTGGCTCAGACTCTAATAGCTATAGTCTATTTTGTTTCATCGATAACTGTACGATAGAAATCGAGTTTCGATTGCACTAAAATATATTTAAAATTTGTAATTTTTAAATTTACTCAAATATTATATTATTATTACTCAAATATAAAAATATTCTTAAGATAGGTGAGAAACACAGAGAATCTAAAATCAGCTAGTCAACTTGTATAGAACAGCTGAATACAGGGTATCTCACAGTCACGCTCATTCGAAAACGTTTTCAATATCTTTCTATGCACATGTTTTGTTTAATATTAATGAGTTGATGACATTGATAATTGTTCTACGGCTTATAATTATCTATATATCGACGAATATTCTCTTTTTAGCTTTAACATTAGATAAAGCTCCGATAAATTTGTAGCAATTTTTCCTCATTTCACATTCTAACAGCAACCTTGAAGCCATATGGTCTTAACAAGCGTTACAGCAAATTGATCGTTGTATCTAAACTTGTTAATCCGATTTGGCTTAGATTGTATTTATTGGCCCTTTTTGTTGGCCCATTTCATGCACTTTTCTTGGCTAATAACTTTGCAATTTTGTTAGTTCCGCAGGGCTGTGTGTATATGTATGTATATAAATATATATATGTGTGTGTGTGTGTGTGTGTGCGTGGGGGTAAAAGCGAAAAAACGAAGCTCACTAACTAAATGGGGTAAAATCATTTCCGGTTCATTTCCGCACACCTTGGCTCGAGGTGCGGCCAGTCGAAAAGGACAAACACAACGACCAGTAAACATCCGTATATATGTATGTATGTGTGTATTTGTGTATATGTGTGTGTGTGTGTAGTAACTGAGCCATGTACTGTTTGACCAAAAGGGGTGGCTTAACTAGTTGAGGGTAAGAAAAAAAAAAAGAAGAAAATGCCAAATAAAAAATAACGTCCAACTACCCACAAAAACAACATCAACAGCGCCAGGCCTCTCTCAACGTGGATGACATAATGCCAAGTGGAGTATGTATCCAACTATTCTACACATGTGTGCACAAACACACACAAACATATATATGTGTTATATATATGTAAATATATATATATATATATATAATGTATGTATGTAAGTACGCAAGAAGTAGTTGTATTTGTCGCTACTGTTTTTGTTGTCGCATACTACGTCGACTGTGGGCTACTCATATTTATTTTGGCGAAAAAAATACACACACTGAAGAAGAAAAAAAGGCGACAACCCTCGGAAAAGCAACAAAAATGCACGTATCCCATGGATACACGCTGGCGAAGAGAGCGCCTTATCAACAGTGCACGCACAAAAAGGCGTTTGTGAGCGAAAGCGAGAGCGAGAGAGAGAGAGCGACAGCCAGAGAGCGAGAGCCAGCTGCAGAGAGAGCAAAAGCGCACGAGAATGAGAGAGGCAGACAGGCAGGGAGAGCGAACGAACGTGTGGCCGGTTAGCAGCCGGCCTTTTTGCGCCACATCCACATCCACATCCGAAAATGTGCCTGACGAGCTGCCTGCCGCCTGCCAGCCTGACTGCCTGAATGTATCTGCCAGATACGGAGAGGGCGCGCTTATCTGTGTGTGCCTGTGTTTCTTGTATATATGTGTGTGTGTGTGTGTGTATGTGTGTGTGTGTGTGCGTGTATGTGTATGCTTCTGTGTTGGCGCGTGACGCAACGTGTACTAAACGCGAATGTTGTCTGTGCCGCCATTCTTCTTCTTCTTGTTCATCTGGTTGTCAAATGGCATTTGGTCTTCTTCTTGCAGTTTGCCATTTACAAGAAACAGATACACATCACCTGGCCACTCAGTACTCGGTATTCTGCACTCTCTCTCTCTCTCTCTCTCTCTCTATCTGCATACACACAAACTGTCTCTCTCGCTATTATACTGTCTCTCTCTCTCTATCTGTCTCTCCCTCTCTGTGGCGCACCACATTCAGTTATTTCTTTGGGGGTTCGCTCGCTCTTCGCCCAATTCGTGCGCCTCAGTTTGCATTTTGCTTTGGGTTGTGTCTCGTCTGGTTCGCTTTTGGGTCAGGCCAGACCAAAATTTAAAAAATAAAAAAAAAAATAAAAAAATACATTTTACACAAATTCGCATTCAATTCACATTCTCTCACACACACATAAAATAATTCCTAGGCTGCCTGTCCACAACTGCTGCAACACATTCGACAACAAGTAAATAACAAAATTATGAAAATTCTTCAATTGCACGTGACAAAAAAAAGAAACAAAAAAAGCTTTAAAAAAACTAACGTACTGTTTTATTAACCTGTGATACGGCTAAGCGTGGCGTTCTCGTTCCGTTCTAATCCTCGTGCCGCGTAATGCAATTCACAAGTCGCGTGTATCTCACAGATACACGTAATATTCACACACACACACACACACACAGACCGTAGTCAGTTAGTTAAAGTTAAAGTGTTCAAGTGTCAGTTTCCGCCTACAACAAAATGTATAAAAAAAATACTCGTCTAATCTCTGTGCTACGTTTTGTAACTGCTCTCGATAAACACATAAATACAATACAACAAATTAATGCCGCAGAGCTTCTTTTGTTGCACTGCTGCTGTTGCACGAATATGTAACTAAATGCATCTCAACATCTACGTAACCAAACCAGACGCCCCCACTTGACTGACTGACTGACTGACAGACTGACTGAGTGAGTGACTGACTGATTGACTGCCTCATGGGCATCATGCACTCAATTAGCTCGCCTCTGATCACCTTCCGACCTCCACACACCCCATTTCCCCCATCTCAGAGTCAGCTCACTCGTGCAACGTTAATTGAGCCCAAACGCTGTTTACAACACATCCGCGGGGCATTTCTCAATGATGGGACTCTGTCGACAGCGGATTTGTGGCCAGTTATCAACCAGTTATCTACCCATTGTCACCTGAAAATAATCAGTTTGTCCAGCGTTTTGGGCAGCTAATTAATCAACAACGATAACACCAACATTAACACAACAACAGCGACAACTACAACAGCGGCAGCAGCAACGACCGCAGACAGTGCACGTTTGCTGGGCATATTTCTATATGTATGTGTGTGTGTGCGTGTGTTTGGCATTGGAAGATATGACATAATTCCAAGACAATCACTTGCCTTAAAAAAAAAAGAAAGAAAGAAAGAAAAACAAAAAAAAAAGAAAAAGAAAAGCAGGCACCCAAAGAGCAAACTCTCTGCATGTGTGTGTGTGTGATTGTCTGTGTGTGTGTGTGTGTGCGAGTGCTCTTAAAGAGCGGGCGCTGTAAGAGCACATCAGGTGCGCAACGACGACGACGACCAATGATCCGAATCTGAATCGGAATCCGAATCTACATCCCAAACGAAGACCAAAGTCATCGTTGTTATTGTTGTTGTTGTTGTTGTTGCTGTTGTATCCCCTTCAACAAGTCACAATCAAATTCATCTTGCCGCTGGTTGCGATTGCAGCGTTTAATTTCATCTTTCTAGCGGAAATATATGATGCACACCCGTCCGCACCACCCACCAAAGCCCACCCACTTCCACCAACGCCCAGCCATAAGTTAATTGAAATGCATGCCGGCACTAAGCCCATTTCTATATAGCATATATATACAAATATGTATGTGTATATGTATGTTTATATTCAAATATATTCGCGGGGGCTTGGGAGGAAAAAAAAAATAGTCGATATATATTTGAATATATATGTTTGTGTGTTTGCTCATTATTACAAAATTGCATTCTGCGATGGTGACCCAATAAATTATTCACACACACATACGGACAGACTAAATATAAATATACCCATACCTATACCTATATATATATATTTATTTATATATGTACCGTATGCATAATAGATAAGCGGCAGCAAATTAGATGATTGCGACAAAGGGCGCTGCGCGTCTTAATTTCCATTTCGTCAAGTTAACCAGTTTATGTTGCCGCTTTCATTGTTGTTGTTATTGTTGTTGTTGTTGTTTTTTTTTTGCGACACACATCGCTGTTTTGACCATGAAATCGATTGTAATGCAAAAGTCCCAAAAACGTGAAATTTTTTTTTTTCTGCTTTTTTGTGTGTTGGGCGAAAGGAAAACAAAAAGTCGAGACCAATAAAAAAAAACCCGAAGAGCAATGCGTGCGTGTGTGTGTGTGTGTTCGTTTCGTGTATGTGTGAAATGCCGTAATAATTAATTGATCGACAAGTGCGCAGCTTTGCTTTTATTATGCATCGCATTGCGTTCCGTTTCAGCGTCAGCGTCAGCGCCAACGCCAGCGTCGTGTTGAGTCGCGTCGCGCCGTTTTGAGTTGCCGAAATCGAAATCGAAGTCGAAGTCGAAGTCGATCTTAACGCCTCAGTCAGTGGAAACGCGAAGCGAATTTTGTTGTTGTTGCTGCTGCTGTTGTTGTTGTTGTTGTTATTTTGGCTGTTGGGGGCCCTTGCAACATCGAAGCCAAAGCCAAAGCAGCGCTTAAACTTGCGACAGCGCAGCGGGCGTCTCTGCCAGCAAATTCACCTGTTGTTATTTGCGTCTGTGTTTGTGTGTATGTGTGTGTTGTTGTTGGCTTTTGGGCGCGACATTTCAATGGATCTTGTTTTAATGATCTAAATAAATTTCAAACATTATCACAAAAGTCAAACCACGCACACACACACACACACACACATATATACATATCACAGCACATTGCTTTGAAATTATCAGAGTTTATTAATTCGTAATCAACGGCAACGTCGACGGCAACGTCGCATGAGCAGCGCCGCAAGCTTAGCTCTGTTCGCTCAATTTTGCGAGCGCGACTGCAGCCAGCAGTTGACGGCGACGGCGACTTCGACGTCGACGACAGCGGCTCGAACGCCATCGTGACCGGGCTTAGTTAGTCAGCCGTTGCGGCAGCCAGTTAGTCGTGCTTTGCTAGTCGCTGACTGCGGTTTTGCCTCTCTCTCGGTTTATTTTCTTCGGTCGTCTCGCCTCGCCTCGCCTCCGCCACGCCAACCCGCTCTTCTGCCTAGTATCTTGTGTCGCGTCGCCTGCGTCAACGCTCTTCTACTCGACGAGTTTCGTTCAGTTGCCGAATTGAATTGCAAGCTAGTGATTCGAATAGTGTTCGAAAAGGACTCGCGCATTCGGCTGCCAATTTGGCTAGCCTGACAATAAACAGAAGCACGCACACACACACACAATTTGAAATATAAATATATATATATATTCACACACACACATATATATATAGATATAGCGGTTACAAAAGTGTGATAAGCAAAAGCGCCGAGAGCAAAGAGTGAGCTGCAAGTAAACGGTGAATTTGAAAAGCTTTCATCGATGCCTTAGCAACAATTTGTATAATTGATAACAAATATATAATAAATAACAACGGCGGCAGCAGTCAACAACACCAGCAATATTTACGAATATCCTTAATTCAACGACACACACTCACGCTTATAATTAAAGTCAATCCAACGAATATTAACTAAACTTTTAACTGGTTTCGCTTCCAAATTCCATAGCCACTGGCAATTTGTTGTTCACGTATCCACTGGTCAAAACATGCTTGCATAGATAAAACCGTTATTAAACCCAAACATTGTCAAATTCGAGCAAAGACAACACACAAAACTGCAACGCACGCAGCTTATAGGAAACACAAGGTAAGTTTTAGCTTAAGCAACACCTACAGTTTAGCAGCATAATACTTGAACAAGAAATAAAAACAAGTGCTTAAATTATTAAAGAAACAAACAATAAGCAAGAGGCGAGTCCAAAATATAATATATAAATACGAGGAATTAAGACATTGACATTGTTAAGTTGATCGATATAAAGATATTAGCAGGCAAAATAATACTTGAACAACAACGAAAAATAAATGCTTACAGTTTGTTCTTAAATAATGACTAAGAGGAGACTTTAAAAATACAATTGTAAATATTTAAATGTGTAGTATTTATTTTTTTGCTGATTTATTGATAAACATCTACTAAAACACAATTTGGCCAAAAATGTAATATAATCAACAATAAAATAAATGTTTATATTATTTTCTACAAAAATGAGTAAGAAAAAAGTTCAAAAATAGAAAACACATAAGTGAATAATTAGGAGGGCATTTCAAAGCGACAATTATAAATATTTGTAGTATTTAATTTTATTACTACTTTTTGTTAATTTGATAGACTTTCCATATTAGCAGCCAAAATAGCACTTGAACAAACAGCACAAAAAATAAATGTTTACATTAATTTCATAAAAAAAAGACTTCGAGGAGGCTTTAAAAATAGAATTGTAAATATTTATATTTGTATCATTATTATTTTTATTATTATTTATGTTAAATGGATAGTCTCACCATATTAGCGGCCTTCTTTTGCTTGCGAGGATGCCTTATTTGTTTATATATGACTATTTCAATCTGTGGATTACATCATCGACAAGTGATAAATGCCAATAACAATTGTACACATTGTTTAATTTAAGCATCTACTAACCATAAAACGACAATTCACTTTTCAACACGATTCTGTTTAAGTTTCAAAAAAATGCCGAAAGGCGATCGCAAATTTTAATAAGTTCAATCGTATGCAAATTATAAAATATATGCACAACATCATTGATGCAATAATCACCGTTAATTTGACACAGTTTCACATAATTTATTTCGAAAAAATAAATAAATAAAATTCAAAATAACGGGTCGTATACACAATATTGTTAATGAACCGTTTAAGCTGTCGATCGGCTTGAGCCACGCATACATAATATTTCATTAATGAGTTTTGTTTTGTTTTTTTTTTTTTGACTGTGTTACACACGAAGAGTGGCCAAAAAAAGGGGTATAATAAATTTGTGCAAATTTATGTGAAAATCATTGTGCTTGGCAACAGGCAGAAGATCAAAGCAGCGCAATTTTAACTTCAACCTCATTTTATTTGGGAAGAAAAACAGAATCAAAATTTTGACAAATTTTACTTTCGTTATGAACGTTGAGTGTTGTCTTATCCTGTCTACAGGGTATTTGCCAGTGAGTGCTCTCCGCTAAGCCAAAAACTTGCTAGTTTCGATTAACAAATTTTGAATTTTAATTCAACTGTAACCAGTTTTCGGTTAGTATGTTGTGAAAGGCATTCCATTCTTGTGTCATTTAATTAATTGAATAAATAAAAATCATACGAAATTGGAACAAATTGTCACCGATGTGATTTAAATCAGCACAGTTTTAATAAATTGGCGTTGTCTTAAGTGCAAATGAAGTTAACTGAAATTAATTTGAATTAACCTTAAGCCAGCGTCTTCTTTGAATTTTTATGGCATTTTAAGTGTGTAAACCTTCGTGAAATTTGTCACTTAGAGATGCCCTTTATGCTCGAGATACTTAAGCTTAAGCTTAAGCTAATAGCACATGAATGTATCTCATGGATGCACGTGCCACATTCAGGGCTGTCTGCAAAGCAAATGATCAACTCGCTGTAATTACAATTACAATTACAAACACAATTCAGTGGGGTATATGAAAACACTATAGATAATTAGGAGTGTAGGCCAAAATAACCTTTGACTTGGCTCATTCATTGACCTGGCCCCATCGACCCATCCATGTCAACACTTGGCAACTAAGTTGTTGTCCATGCAAAAAATCAATAGTAAATTAAAAACAAAGGGGAGCTGCTTAAGCCACCCCAAAACCCAGCTCCCACCTCCCACCTCCCCCCCTCAATTCCTTTGCTTGAATATTGAATGCACGTGACACCTTTTGCTAGGCGAGCATTAAGGCGAGGCTCTCCAGTCGCCCCTCACAATTACACACACACAGCCATACACACACACACACACACAGACACACACATACACACACACACTCTAGCTGACAACAACAGTTACAATTACAACAAGCTACGCGTCTTTTAGGCGTCATTCATGGCGTGCTGTGTGCACATTAAACGCGTTTTCTTCATGCGCTTTTGGTTTTGGTTACTTTCTGTTGCCACGGTTGGGAGGGGGGTGGGGGTTGGGTTGCTGGGTGTTGGGTGTTGAACTGTGTGAGTCACACGAGCACACAGACAGACGAACAGACAGACCAGACCAGACCCAGTGTGCGCTCTCATTGTGCCCGTTTTCATTCATATTTGTGGTGAGACTCTGCGCAAAAGCAGCGCAAAAGAGCCAAAAGAGAAACCTTAGCGATGTTGCTGGGTCAGAGGGGACTAGGATACGCTGTGGCAAGGGAGGGTGTCGTCATCACGTGATTGTATGTGGGTCGGTGTGTGTGTGTGTCGCTGTGTCGGTGTGACAACGTGGCGCCGGCTAAGCGGCATTTTACTGTCTGAATTCGGGGCCCTGGAAGCGCAATTTGTTCGGTTTAAGGTTCGGGTTCGGGTTCGGGCTTGGAATCATCATCGGCATCGGGTTGACTCTTGTGTTTGGGTTTGGCTGTTGTCGCTTGGTGTTTTCAGTTTGGTTTGGCTATTTTTTTTTTGTCTTTGCGGTGTCGCTTTACATGCTCATATGAGCATTGTTGCTTCATGCCTTGGCTTTTTCGCTGTTGTTGTTTTTGTTGTTGTTGTTGTGTGAGCTTACATGGAGCTCACAGAAACAGCAGCAAAAGCAGCAAAAGCAACAACAGCAACGCTGTGAAATCAGGTCAATGAAATAGCAATATTTGGCACGGCTTAAAGCCATCGCTGGCATCGCATTTCGCATTGCCTCTGAAAATGAGCTGCATTGGTTCGCTTGTTTCCCATTTTGTATTTGTTTTTGTTTTTGTTTTTGCTATATTTATTTATTTTTTTTGGTATCATTCGTTGCGCTTTGAAATCGAAGACATAACCACCCCCAGTCCAAATATATTTATATACATAAATATATATATATATATATATCGCTGGGTGTTTTGATATGCCTTGTTGACAGTGTTTTCCGTTATTTACCCGCCAGCAACCAGCTTTGTTTGTTTTTGTTGTGCTTTTGTGTTTCTCTTATCCACCTTTGTCCTCTGACTTTGAATTTATTTCAATTAAGGCGGCAATGTCTTAGTTTCCGTTTGATGCCCTACATTTTTTCTGATTGGTTGCGTTCCTTGCCACATTTGTTGCGCCATCTAAGTAGATCTAAGTCGTAATTTGACTTGCGTTCTTTATCAGGCTAAATACAAAGATAGCTTAATCAATTAAATTAATTCGTCGCAAATTATATGCGATTTGTCATTAAATTGCAAAAAATAAAACGAACTAATTTATTAACTGCATCAATGAAAGCCAAATAATAGCTAAGAAGTGTTTGCGTAACGATTAGAATAAATGCTTAATAAATTTCCAATATTTTAAATGAAGCTATTAATTCAAGAATGTGCTGTGTAATTATGATAAATCATGTAAATTTTCCAAAAATTCTCGCTGTGTCATTCGAAATAATTTCGTTAAACAGAAGCGATTAGCATGAAATTAGGTTCTGGAAACAACATTTAAACTTGTGTTGAACAATTAATAAATTTCACAACATTAAGAAATATTGGAACAGCAAAAACAAAAGAATATAATGGAATACGAATATTTTATTTATTTTATGTCTCACTCTTTTTCTCGCTCTTTAACTTTTTTACCTTTCTGAATAACAAGCTAGTAACGCTTAAGAATTTTTGGTCTGAATTATTTTTTAATTTTGTATTTTCAATTTAATGATTCAATGTTGTCCATAAGCCACTCGCTATAATTGTATAGGGAACTCATTAGCCTTCTTATGCACCCTTAGACTGTCCCTCGCTGCAGCAATGAGCTAAGCAATTAGGCTCCTTTGGACGCTATAATTTAATGTGAACAGAAGCACTCAGCGTATGAGTAATACCTGTCTCTGTATGGCTATGTATGACGTCAACAATTTTTATTCATATGAGTCTAGATATTTATTTATATATAGAGGCCTGTCACTTCAGCAAACATGACTAAATACAGAGTAAGAGAAAGAGAGTGAGAGAGAGAGAGTGCGGTAGGGAGACGGAGAGAGGCAGAGGCAGAGGCAATCATTCCGTTTGGGCTACATTTGTAAATTGTTATGCGAAGTGTGTCTGCAAAAAGCAAGTAGCAACAGACGGGGGGCAGCAGCGGAGGTTTGACGTAGAGTGCTGTCAACAGCTGCGGCTGTTGCACTTTTAGTTTGCCAAAATTTGTTTGCTTAGCTGGCTTCAAAGTAGCTAACACACATATATAAGTACATGTGTGTGTAAGCACATGTGTGTGTAAGCACATGTGTGTGTAAGCACTTGTGTGTGTGTGTGTGTGTGTGTGTGTGTGCATGTGTATTTGTGCAGCCTGCCTGTTTGTCTGTCCTTGAACTTTGATTGCATTTTTGCACACAAATCCCATATTATTTACCCATTACATGCGAAGTTTATACATAATACTCATACGCCGCATGGTACTTTACTTTCAAATTTGTTATTCAAAAAAAAAACTATCGATTCAGTGAGCTTATCTCGCACGATACTGACTTGATTGGCCCGATATGGTATCTTGTGTTGCCGCTCAAAGTCTGCGCTTATTGAGGGAGCTAAAAAAACGGGAACATCAAATTATAAACAACAACTTGTAAATATGCCGCTCCATTGCTGACTCGCCACTTTTTGGGCTTTAGTTTATTAACCTCATTTTATTGCTGTCAAACCACTTTGCAGCATAAATATATATATATATATATATATATATATATATATGTATTATATATAATTAATTTATATATATAAAATAAATTTCAACATATTAACATATGCGCTTTATTTATGTGAAAAGTAAGTGGGATATGGGGAATCACTGCCGATAATTCTCAGTGTGCTTTTTATTTAATTTTCTTTAGTTGTGTGCGCACATAAACAAATTTATAAATAAATGTTATGAGAGTCACGTGCAAGTGTTGCTTGCCAGTCTACATACTTTTAAAAAGCATACATCAATTTGTTTATTTTTTAAGAGCATTCTCTGTCTCTCTCTCTTCCTCTCTCTCTCTTTCTCTCTCTCTCATTGATTTTCTCATTACATAAATTTATAAATAAAATGTATTCATTATTTTAATTTTCTCTGTCTCTCTCTCTCTCTCTCTCTCTCTCTCTCTCTCTCTCTCTCTCTCTCTCTCTCTCTTTGACATTATCATTACATAAATTTATTAAAATAAATAAAATTACATCATTTTAATTTTCTCTTTCCTTGATTTTGTAATTGCAGCTCGCCAACTTTTGCACAACGCTAGATGTATTAAACTCGGAAGAAACGAACCATCAATAAATAAAAAGTAACAAACAAATAAACAAACAAACAGCAAGAACAACATTAAACAGCAAGAAGCACACCACACACTACACACAGCAACAAAATGGCCTTAATTATGAAATACATCGAGAGCATAAACAGATATATGGACTCACATAGTGGTAAGTTGGTTGGGGCTAAGGGGTTGGGGGCTAATTCTTACACATGCATACATTATGTATGTTTAGATATGTGTGTGTATTGCGGCTGCTAATTTATGTAACCTTGATGTTTTAGTTGTGGCTGCTGTGATTATTGCTCTTTTTACTCACATTTCTCTGCAAAACAGCAAAGGTTTAGCAAATCATTGAGTAATTTTTGACACTAGCTTACTAATTGCCCAATGTAGAGGGATAGAGCTTAACAGCTGTTGGCACCTCTCTCTCTCTCGCTCTCTCTCTCTCTCGGAACAGGCCAAAAAATGATTATTCGTGTATCTGAGCTGATAATGCTATTAACTCTCTAGCCGAGCAAAGAGCAATTTGCTCTTCTCACACATTAATCCTTGAAGAGCGGCTATTTCTTTAATACATTAGGCCAACAGCCCACATTTGACAAATGCTGGTAAAATTATATTTCAACATGACATGGATACACGTCTAACACACGATTTGAGAAACACACAGCAAAAAAAAATCGAGATGCATTTTGAAAAATAGCCCCGACAACTACAAACTTTTTCTTGCTTTTAGATATATTTTTAAAATTTTTAATTTTAATGAGTTTTTCTCAGTTTTTGATTAAATTAATAAATAAATATTTTTGTATGCCTAATTTCACAGATAATTGTAAAAAATCGCTTTGAAATTTTAGAAAATCGATATACTTTTGGCGCCAAAATTAACTCATCTTATTATTCAGAAAGTATATTTCTAAACGGATGATTGTCTCCTTTATTAATTCCAGAACAAATTTTGATAAAATTTATAAAAAAAATATATCTAATATCTGTAATTTCATTTGAAAGAAACATTCCAATTTAAAAAGTATATAAATAGCAGTCGAGAGACCAAAATTTCAGAATGCATTTTTTTAAATAGGACTGTCATATTTACTTTTTATAAATATATCTATTAAAAATATGTTTCTGAAAGAAAATGTTAAGCAATTTATGATTTATTTCCATAAAAAAAAATCGATCTCAGGGCAATTTTTCAAAATTCATCCCGATTTTTTTCTAAGTGTTCTGATATGTAGCTCCTATTGCTGATAGTTGCTTGCTTGCCTATGCGTGTTAGTATCTTTTAATATGTGTGAGACATGTGTGTTTTGAGTGTGTATGATGTGTGTGTGTGTGGGTTTGGGTGTGTTTGTATTATGATAATTTTAAGGGCGCACATGTAATTTGAATTAAGAGGAGCACGATTATATCATAGAGCAGGACAGAAATGACATTTGTTTTTAACTTGGGCGTTAACAATTTGAATAAATAAAAGATTTCACATATCATTTAATTCGCATTTGTGTCATTGAAATAATACATTGCTCTTGAGACAATTAGCAAACTAAATACAGACGTCAATAAACCAAATCAATGGCAATAAAGAACTTAAGATTTGACTGAAATTGTTAACAGCACTTAACTTTTGGCACTTCAGGTGAGCATTTGCCACTCATTAATTTTGATTAGCTAATGTGATAACTGGACGAGTTGTTCGAGAGTTTCGCAAGCCATTCATATTTCAGCAACAATTTCACTTGGCACATCTGCTCAATCGAGTTTTGAAACCCTAATTAATATTCGTTTATCTTGCGTACATTTCGTATATTTCTTTTTCTGTTATTTGTTAATCTATTCATCATACTGCGTCAGCGCTCGTCAATATTTCACTTTTATTATCTACCGTTTTTTGGTGGTTTTCCATTTTTAGCGTTATCGAACTTTTTGCTTACGAATATATATTTAATTATTAAAATTGATTTATTTATTTTTTGGTATTTTAATGTTTTGGTTTTGCATGCTTGAGCAATCTGATTTCGCGTGATTATTCGTATTGGTTGCATAAGTTATTCATGAGTTAAAATACCCCACGAAATTTACGCATTTCGATGACTATTTTCGCGGAACCGCGGAACCGAATGTCAAATGAAGCAAGACAAATTTACAGCCAACGTTTTAGACCAAGTATTCAGTTACAGTTGGCTTGGCATAGTGCATTTAGCAGCGTGATTTGCACGACTAAGACAGATTAACACCATCATTAACATCATCATAATTTTTCTTTAATAATCATTAGTTAGTTAATTATCGAGTTAGTTACATTGTCAATGCCCAATGCCTAATGACGTACAGAGTTGATAAGAGCAATGTCAGCGCTTTGTTTTCATTGCTATCTATTAGATAAATACCCGTACACACACACACACATACTACACACACATACACACACACACACGCACGCATGTAAGTGCTGTTGTACGCGTGTTTAGTAAATATTTAGTGGGAAGCAACAGCAAAGGCAATGACAACAATGTTGACATTGACTGCTGTACGCTTTTAACAAAGTTTTACACAATTTTTGACATTTGCCTTATTTGTAATTGTTGCACAGATTCAAGGACAAAGGACTGGCCCATGATGTCATCACCCTTCCCCACACTGGCCGTGTGCCTCACATACGTCTACCTGGTTAAGGTAAGTTAAAAACAGCTCTTTGGTCTTATGCGTCCATCCTCGAGTGGCCGTCTGGTCAGCCACTTGGTTAACACACGGATCTGGGGCACATAATCAACACTCCGCCGTAATCTCAAGTGTTGTTCCTATGCGGAAATCAGCTGACGTGGGCGTATCCCACTGATAACGTTTTATATTTATTTTTCGTTTTAAAATTTTTTTTGGTTGTGCAAGCCCAATTTATGATTCAGTCACACACTATAAATGCACACGAAATTGTATAAATTTCTAATCGGGAGGCGCTATTTTATAAAAGTCTAACCTAATCAACATTTTGATAAGACAACAAAGTGAGTCAACCATAAACAATTTTTTTTTAGCATTATACAACTGTTATTTATTAAACTTTTTACAAGAAGTACGCCTGCAATACACAAAGGATAGCGCGATTATTTTAAGATCTATCTTTGATGACACTAAAATGTATATTATTTATTTAAAGACCCCATATTGCCGTATTACAGAAGACATATTAGCTCAGGAATTTTAAAAATGGATTCAATGTATATATTCAAATTAATCTTCATTATTGAAAATTATTTTCTAATGAATAATGAGTTTTATTTTAAATTAAATTAACATGAGTGTACGAAAAATAATTAATCTGTGCGTGTGAATCCCGGTATTTTAGTGCTCCAAATGCTTAAGTGATTATTCAATTTAGTTTGTTTTAAAATCGAATAATTATTGCTCTCTTATAACTTATGAATTTTGTTATTATTTTTTTTTACAGGTGCTTGGGCCCCGATTAATGGAGAATCGAAAACCACTTCATCTACAACAACTGCTGGTCAGCTATAATGCGTTACAGGTTGTATTTAGCGCGTGGCTTTTCTATGAGGTATGTAATACACAACCAACATTTAACACACCACAAGAACAACAACAACAACAACCACAACCACAACCAAAAACCCATTATCAACCACCAACAACAACAACAACAAAAACTCAACGCTGGCGTCGTCGTTTTGGCTGCTTGCAACTGACCTGGAAAGCGTTCCGAGACAACAACAAATGCAACAACAACAAATGCAACAACAACAAATGCAACAACAACAACAATAACAACTGCTGCCAACAACCAACTGCGATGCTTTTAATGTGCACTCTTTTTTATGTTTTTTCATATGTTCTCTCTCTTATTTTCTCTCTCTCTCTCTCTCTCTCTCTCTCTCTCTCTCTCTGGCTTTGTCTAATTATCTATATAATTTTCTTTGCAATTAATTTAATTTTGTTTTTAGTGTTTAATGGGCGGCTGGTGGGGTTCGTACAGCTTCCGCTGTCAGCCCGTGGACTATACCGATAGTCCCACTTCTAGGAGAGTAAGTTTCTCCAATATAAATGCTAAATTAAATTACAACTGTGTCTGGTAGGAACTCTCTTAGCACACAGACTATTGAGATTCATATATATATCTCTATAGTTTTCGCCCTTAGCCAATGGAATTGAAAGTAATTAGTTCTGACAATTAAAATGCGTCCCTGAAAAGACCCAATTCAAAAAAAATACCCTTTTAGCAATTTCTCAAAGTTTAATCTTGACAAATGACAAAATGACAAACATGAACATCTTAATTTTATTATAATTATTTATGCAATTGCTTCTAGCACAACCATATAAATATTTTCATATTAACCAGCATTGCTTCTCACTGATTTCCAATATTTATAAATATTTTGTTTTCTTTTTATTTTGGTTTCATATTAAGGTAGTTTGAGCAAAACAAAAAAAAAAACAAAAACTACACGAGGCGAGCAAATGTGTAGCTGGTTCTCTATTCCTTATTAGAAATATTACAATTAAGTGCCCTTAAATATAAATAGATCTATATATGCATATATATATATACATAACTTGATTTGTATATAAATGTTAGCAAGAGCTGGTGATTAATTTGTGCAAAATGATCGCTTCACACAAATATTGATGCTTTTTAGCTAATACCATTTAAAACGCTGTCTACTAACCCCGCAAAAATGTGTGTGTATGTGTAAATAGCACTGTGTATGTGTGTGCGTGTGTGTGTGTGTGTGTGTGTACTATGTACTATGTACTATTCTTTACAGCCCACAAACTGGAAGCAGCTGAAAAAACGAACGCCGACGCAAAACGATGCCAGCCAATATAAAAAAAAAGCCACCAAAAAAACGCCCTCACAAATCATAAAGCCAATTCGCAAAACCAAATAAAACAACAACAAAAAAAAAACAGAGATCGATAAAAAACAAAAACATTTTTACACACTCTACATTTGCAGATAGGACAGTCCGGTTGGCTAACAGGACATTATAGCTTCCGATGTCAGCCAGTCGACTATAGTAATAATCCTAGAACGTTAAGGGTATGTGTTGAACACACAATGTGCAGTTAAATAACGCCATTGATTAGCACTTGTGATAACGATAAGCTGTATCTTTGATAAGGAATGCTCTCCAAATTCCCTGCTTTATTTATGGGTGTGCATGCGTGAGGTTCACTGGGTGTGTGTGTGTGTGTGTGGGAATATTGGTTCTGGATTCTGATTAAACGATAAATACCCTTTATTACTCACATGTCAAGGGAGACGTGTTGTCCATAATAATAATAATAATAATAATAATCATCATATTTATGGTATACACATATTAACAGTTATTGGATAAACACGAGGTTACACTTAAGCCACAATTATATACCATATAAGCATAACTAATCCTAAGCCAGATCGTAGCATAACTCTCAGCACCTTCCAAAATGTGACTAAACGAATAAGACAGAATAAGTCGTCATCTCTCTTACAGACTATAGCAACACTCTGGGCCCCATTTCATAAATAAAACACTCGTCCTGCCTCCAACACCCCTCTAAACTTGGACAACTGTATGCAACTCTTTCCAATCCAACCAAATATAATTAAATTCTTTAAACTCTCCTTTAAATGGTCAGGGCTTTGATTTTTCAATCAATTAATTGAATGTTTTCCCCAAAATTCTATCCTACATCTATTCCACTCTTTGATGCGTTTGAACAATTAATATAATTACTTATAGTCTTGATTTGAATCGAATACCCCTTAGCCTGAAGCGTGTGCATGAATATTTGAATTGAATATAATTTGATTATGATTTAATATTGCTCAGCGAATTGACTCTTTTAAATTTAATGAACAATTGAATCGGCCACGTCGATTCCAATGTATGCCCTACGATAGCTTTGGCTATTCACTGAATATACTGCTTGGCGTAGGGCATTCAAATGTAGTGAATGTATTGAGTGCACGAACTGAATATTCAAAATGATATCCCCAGCTAATCAAAGTTTAAATCTCTCCATCTCCTGCTCAGATGGTTCATGCGTGCTGGTGGTATTACTTCTCGAAGTTCACAGAGTTCATGGATACGGTAAGTGGCAACTGGGACCAAGCTCTGACTGGTTGACACAGCTAATTCTGAGTATATCCTTCATCATTGCAGATTTTCTTCGTGCTGCGCAAGAAGACGAGCCAGGTAACAACGCTGCATGTGATTCATCACGGATGCATGCCCATGTCGGTGTGGTTCGGTGTTAAATTCACTCCAGGTGCGTTAATCAAAACAAAAACAAACCTTATTCATACATCTAGCATTTGTTTTGCGTAGCTTTTATTTATGTTTAGGGCATGACTACGTAGTACGGGTTTATAACTTTTGGAAATAATATTTCACGTTCCTTTTAAGTCATAACAAATAGCAACAGGTTTCGTAAAGCTAGGGAAAATAAGACCATATTAAGAAATTACCCTACATGGGCAATAAATTAACATCATTTTGTTTTTAGAAAACAAATCCCTACGTAAACATCATCAGGGATCTCCCTTGAAGCAAAATATATGATACGCATAAATAAGATACAAATTAGAAAGTAAAGTTCAATTATATTATACTTTTTAAGGGTTAACATTGATCCTGAACATTGTCATCTATTTAATGCTAATAATTCAAGCAATTAAGTCAGTTTGCATTTACACTTCAACTTAGCAATAACAGATAATATTAGCAAAATGTTCGATCTACGCATTAAAAGCGTTTTGGGTTGTATTAAAAAAGATTATCGATAACTCTTTGATTTTGATGGCGCACCAATTAGGTGGTCACAGCACTTTCTTTGGCCTGCTCAATACATTCGTGCACATTGTGATGTATACGTACTACATGTTCTCGGCCATGGGTCCACAGTACCAGAAGTATCTCTGGTGGAAGAAGTACCTGACAACGCTGCAAATGGTAAGTTAAATATGCATTTTAGTAAATTTTTAATCATACACCCCAGCTTTTCGTAAGGGAGACAGCATTGTTATTTTCTACAGAATTTAAAACTGGTTTTCTAAACCACTTTGCGTCTAGGTAAAGTTTAGATTTAGGGGTCAGCGGCCCCTTTTAGGGTCGGGCCTTGTATAATCACGTAGATATGTTAGGCATAGACAAATTAACCAGTTTTTTTTATTTTATTTAATGTCCACTAAGAAGAGTAAACAATTTTATTTATTTAATTAATTTCAACTAATACAGAAAAATATACGAAAAATAAGTCATTGCAAAATTGGTCCAACATTTGGCACATGGATTGGGGAAAGCCCGAAATAAACCCAATCTAACCAACAAAGAATTAGTATTAATTAGTTCAGATGACCAACAAAAAAAATGTCTGACAAAGCGGTTTTAAAAAAATTTAATTCATTTTTAAAGTCACAAATTTAATTATACACCTTTTAAATTAAGGTATGGAAAACAGTTCACAATTCTTTCAACATTTTTTTTTTAAATAATAATTTAATATTCAAATTAAAGCTATAGTTGAGTAATTAACTTTACATTTTAAAATGAAAATAATAATATAAGAAATATAATACATTTGGGGGTAACAAATTGTAAATTGGTTCAACACTTATTGCAACGTTTGTGGAAACCCAAAAAAAACCCAATCAGACCAAAAAATTGTATGGGCTTGTAGCTTAGCAATAAGGAAAGTAAACAACTTAGGAAGCAAAGAGAAAGGGTGGGATAAGGAGTGAGACATAAAATAAAGAAAGTATAGGAAAATCTATGAATATGTTGAGTATGAAACATGCTCAGAGATTTCTCAGAGTTAGTCTTAAAATTGAAAATTTGATTGAAGGAAGAGAGGAAGAAGAGTTTCAGCGAGAATACATGAAATGAGGCATATATCTTAATCAATTTGATTGTGCCTTGCCGCAGGTCCAGTTCATTCTAATTATGGTGCACGCCTTCCAATTGCTCTTCATCGACTGCAATTACCCGAAGGCCTTCGTCTGGTGGATCGGCATGCACGCCGTGATGTTCTTCTTCCTGTTCAACGAGTTCTACAAGGCAGCATACAGAAACCGTCTCATGGTAAGTACTTGCCTCACTTTCGCCCAGCCTATTATGCCTAAAACCGTAGCCCGGAAATGAGACACATTTGAGATGTGACAGCTTCTCACGTAGCCCATTATAAAAGGGCCTTGGTCCATGGCTTCCCACGTTGGCTTAAAAGCCATTTGAAGCGACAAAACGACAATCATAAAAATGAGTTTAGCATTTCGTTGTTCGCATCCCAGATTCCGGATTGGGTTAATGAAAACGAAATGCCAAGCAAACTATTATATCATCCACCCAAAAGTTAGGTCTATGGTTACGCCGTCGTCTACACCTTGCAACCAGACCTATAGCCGCCTCTACACACACAGATGTATATTTATGTGTGTATGTGTGTGGTCCAAATTCATTAACGAAAATTTCGTCAAGTATGCGGCTGTTGGTCGCGGGGAATTGGGTTGCCGAAGTCCGCTTGCCGCACACACAAAAGACTTTGGGCCAGTCCAAAGCGACGACACAATAACGTCCAAATGACGTCGTTTAATGATCGTTCATTCCGGCAGCCACGTTGACGTTGACGCCGACGTCGACCCACAGCATCCATTGAGCGGCGCACAAGTGAAAGTCGAATGAAAAAGCGAAAAAAAAAGCCAAAAATAAATAAATAAAAATAAAAATAATAAACAAACGCTGACAAAGCGCCTCAGCTTATTGCATAATCTACTGTTATTTTTTATTTTTTTGGGCCGCACACACACAAAAAAAAAACTCGTGTTAACAATCATACGCACCACTGGCAACTCGAACTCTATTATTATTTTCTTATTCAACATTGCAGAAGAAGAATGCGTTGCTGGCCAACGGACATGCCAAGCCCAATGGCTATTGCAAGAGCATCAATGCCCACGACGATCTGTTCATGCCACAGCCAACTGCAGCCGTTACGACGCCCAAGGCCAATGGCAATGCCACACTCTGCAATGGCCATGCGAATGGCCTGAAGAATGGCTACAACAAACAGCAGCCAATTGCCAATGGCAATGCGACGACAATTGGCAATGGCAGTGCGCACAAAACGAACGGGGTCCTGCTGGCCAATGGCTATGGCAATGGCAACGGTTATGCCACAAAGCTGGTGGACGATGTTAACCAGGAGCTGACACACCGAAAGACACAAAAATAATATCGGGGAAATGCGGGTCGGCGCCAACATAGAGCTTAGGATGGGAAGCGGGTAGCACAGCAGTCAGCGCCAGGAGCAACACTTTGATGCTCCAAGAGTCATAAGCACACCTACATCTATGCACACATACACACACACACACACACAAATAACATACACACACACAACACAGCATTCATATACATCAACAAAAGCATATATACATACATGTTTTGAAAATTGTATGCAAACTGCAATAATTTTCAGTGGAAATGGCAATGAACAATACTAAGGGATATACAATATTGTTATTGGTACTAATTATTATTATTAATATTAATGATAATAATAATAATAATAATAACGTTTGTTTACGGCAAGCGATTGAAAAGCAATTGCTTTGCACATTCTGCTGGCATACAGATTTTGAAATGTATGTGTATTGGTATATGTATGTGTGTGTCTGAAGCATCCATATATATATAATATATATATATATATATAAATATATAAAATACATTTTTGTTGCTTTTTTCTCTTTTTAACTATTTTAGTTGTACAAAGCTTTGTATAGAAACAAAAAACAAACAAACAAAATACAAAAATCAAAAAAAAAAAAACATGGAAACAAATGCAAGCAGAAGCAATTTATTAATTGAGCCTACTGCTTATTTAACTAAGTTGCTTGTGCGCATGGAATTAATCTATGTATTTAAGCATAGAATTTAATTTATAATTATATATATATATATATACAAATATACATATATATACAAATAAAAAAAATAAATGGCAAAAAATTAGTTGGTTCTGCATAAGTCAAACAAGTTTTGTAAATGTATAAAAAACAGAAATAAAAACGTATGTAATAATATTAATATTAGTCGCAATAATTGTTGAGGAATTTAAACAATGTCAAGCAAAAGAACAGTCACAACTATTTAAGTCGAGTAACAAATACTACAAATACCAACAAATTTGTGCTGCGTTTCAATCATTAACGACCACAAATATAAAGAAATCACAAAAACAAAAACAAAAAGAACCTTCCCACATGTTTCATTAATTTATTAAAAATAAATTATGCCACAAATTTCAAAATTATAAAGTATGCAAGTTTTGCTATTTGATAACGTTGCATAAGAACAACAAACAAAAAAAAGCCCACACAATATGTATAAGATGAAATCAACTAAAACTAAAATCCGAACATTGATTACAACAAACAGCAAACATTGTCGGAAGCAAAAAAACAAAGTAGACTTTAAGTCCCACACTCTAGGTTCTATAGGTATTCAATTGCAATACATTTTGTATGCGTAGTAGCCATTTTTGTGGAGGTGGAGCAGTATGTAAACACTATGTATGTAATTGTAATTATTATTATTATTATTATACATAAAACAAGCAAAACAAAACAAAACAAAACAAAACAAACAAAAAAATACGAAAAACAAAATAATGTGTAGAAAATTAGGCGAAAATGGAGTGGAGCATTTTTTCAATAAAACACTAAAAAAAAAATACGCTTATGCAACTGAAACGATTTTTTAAATTGTACGCAATATTTGAAACAGGTAATAGGAAATGGAGTTGAGTGCATATTGACAAAATGATGCAATTAATATTGATAAATTGAAACGATTGACTCTTTAGGCTCTCTATATGGTTGTTTATTAACATTTATAATTCATTTATAATTCGGTTGTTAGATTTTACATGTTTGCCGCATCATACGCCCTAAATGACGTACGAACCGGGTTTACACTTTATAATTGTAACTTAGATCTAGGCTTGTTTTGCTACGAGCTAAGCGTGTTAAGCTGTTTATAAGCGGTAGGCAGAAAGTAAAATATAGAACACATAAGTCAAACTACTTAAGTGGTGGGCGCAATTGTATGTTTGCCCTTAGACTTACGTATGACCAGTAAAACGAAAGAAAAAAAATGCTCAAATAATTATAAACAGCAATTGGTAGTCATTGTACTTTAGTTGAGTAATGTTGGCCATAATTAGGCTTAAAATAGAACTTAAACAGCTGCAAAATCTGTGAGTGGGTGCTGAACAGGATGATAGTTGCTCTTGCTCTTGCTGCTCTTGGCCAGTGACAGTTGCTCAATGAGAGTAGTAAGCAGCCGACGGTGCCATGCATATTAGAACTGTTGTTGGGAGATTTTAAAAACACTTAAGCTTAAACTAAGCCACACGGCGGTCTCAATTGCGACGGGTGCGACGACGTGCATTGCTGGCAAAGTGTGTGGGATTGGACGCGCCTGGATGCTGGCCGCTGTACAAATTATCCAGAAACTCGTGCAACGTTGCCTCGCTGCAATTTAAATGGATTACAATTTGTTAGTTTGTTGTTTGTGCCAGCCAGCAAAGAGAGTGCATACCTAACACCGCTGGTTGGCCCACCAGGATGATGGACATGGGGCGGCGGCTGCTGCTGATGTGGATGGTGCTGTTGCTGCTGTTGTTGCTGCTGCTGTTGCTGCTGTTGTTGCTGCTGAGCGCCACGCACAATGCGATATTGCACCATGTGCGAATTGGGTTCCAGATGCGAAAGCGCACCCTTCTGGCAGTTTGCCCATTCAGTTATATCATAGACCTTGCCATCCATTAGCGCCAAATATTTCCATCGCAGTCCCAGCATGCTAGTTTCCGCCCAGATATCGCCCTATAGACAGATAGTGAATATTATCAAACTGCATGTTTTGGGGAATTATTATGCTCTACTCACATCCTTGGCCGAGTGGCGTATCTTACAAGAGGCGCACTCGCGTGCTGCATAATGAGGACGTTCGGTTAGCTTGCGGGGATGACGTTGAGCACAGGTGCTGCATCTGTCAGTGATAGATAATATGGTGTTATGGTGTTAGACCTTACCAATTGGGCGCTTCGTTTGTACAGCTTACCTAATAGTATTCGCCGCCTCGGTCATTTTGGTTTGCAGTTGCGACAGTAAGTCGTGCAGCTCCGTCCACGCCTTCTCCGCATGCAGTGCCTCGGGAATGCTTTGGTCATAGGCAAGACGATTTTCCTGCAAGCATCAAGCTCAAATAATAAGTACTACATCTGCAGTGAAAATAAGATGCACAACTTACCGGTTCGCCAATCAGCTCAAATGCACGCTGCAACACCTTGAATGCCTCCTCGGCGCCCGCCTGCTTGTTCTTATCCGGATGCACCAAAACGGCAATTTTCTTATAGTGTTTACGTATCTGCTCCTGTGGACTATCCGGCGGCACACCCAATATGCTAAAAGAGATGGCGAAGAATGATTAATCAGTTATATGCGTATTGGTAAATTGTCTAATTGACAGTTACCTATAGGCATCCTTGCCCTTGCAATTCAGCAGCGAGTACATGGCCTCTTCGCCTGTCTGCGGCAGGCGTCCGGTCTTGAATGCCTCTGCGCTGGCCTCGGGCGGCTTACGCTTGTAGAAGCGTCGCCAGAATGCCCAACGTGAGTTCTTCTTGAAGCGAGCGTCGAAGCGGCGCCAATAGTTGCGCCACCAGATGCTCGGCTTGCCCGAATTCTGCTTCAGTTCCTTGTGCAGCTGTCGCGCATAGGCCACACCTGCCACATAAGCGGTGATCAGGCGCTCGTACGCCATGCTGCAGCCGAGCACAACAATGTCATAGATCAGATAGAAGAGCCAGGTAAGCAGCTTGAGCGTGTATATCCACCAAGTATTAAGAATGCGCTTGGCCAGCTCATAGTTGCGATTCGAGGCGCCCGCGTGTGCTGGCGAATTGGACGAGCCGTAGCCATTGCCACGATTGCCACGTTTCGAGGAGTACGAGTACGATCCGGAATTGGAGCTTAAATTTGCATTCGACGAGGCAGAGTAGCGTTTCGACGACGCCGAATTGCCATTGTTGTTGTTGCCGCCCATGTTGCTATTGTGGTGGTGATGGTTATCTCTGCTGCTGCTGCTGTTGCTGCCGCTTGACGCAGCCGAACTATTCGAATTTCCATTGGGGTAACTTGCATTCGATCCACTGGTGTTGACGCCGCTCCGATTTCCATTGTGGTTCGACTTGCGCGTCATGAAATTGTGGCTGCTGCTGTGGTTGCCAGTTGCGCTGTTCCCAATAGGATTGCTGATGGTTGCCTTGCTGTCGTTGGTCTTGGTGCCGAATCCGTTTAGGTTATTACCGTTTGCATTATTATTATTCAGCTTTAGTTGTGCAGGCCGCTTCTTGTCAGGCATCGGTTTACTAGACCTGATCGGTGCTTGCATTGGCTGCTGGGGCGGTGCCTGTTGTTGCTGCTGCTGCTGCTGCTAATATTGTAATCAATATATTAATCATTTATTTATAGTTGTATTAATTATCTAGCTCTTTTAATGTGAGAAATTTTATTTATCAAAATATCAAAATTAGGCTCATTTACCATTTGCTGTGATTTCTGCAACATGCTCTGATTAGACTGCTGGCGCTTCTTGCTACGATGGTTTGTGGTATTGAGGCCACCTCCAGGTCCATCCTTAAGTTCGTGCAGTGGCGAGCGTTTGGCATTGTTGCGCATGTCCCGATTGCTACCGTTGCCGTTACCATTACCATCTTCTTTGCCTTGGCGCCTCTGCGGCTGGTGACCATTCTCCAGATTGCTGATGGAACGCACCTCACCGCCAGCATTGCTGCTAGCGAGAATTGTGGACGAGCTGCGCAATGTGCTGCCCTTGCTCAGCACATCCGAATAGGACATGGGCATAGGTTTAACCTCGGCTACAATGCGCTTCTTGCCCTCGGGCGCCTTTTTAATGGCAGTGGCTGTTGCTGTTGTTGCAGTTGTTGTTGTTGTTGTTGTTGCTGTTGTTAGCATTGGCTTAGATGTGGCTTCTTTATTGCTGGCACTAACGGGCAGCACCTCAACGGTCTTGGGCGGAACGACCTTGGCTTGATACTCAATCTCAATCTGTTCTGGCTGCTGCGGCTGTTGCACCCTTATGGGTGAAGGGGGTGGCGGTGGTGCTTGCGCTGGCATGGGCGTTACTTCTTGAAAGCTGTTGGCATTTTCAGGCACCTCGCCGCCAAACTGAATATAACTGCCACCCGTTAAATTGGGCGACCAGTTATTCACCAGGTTATTGATAAACATATTGGCGCTGCTGCTCGACGAGACACCAGTAGCGACATCTTCAACCTGATGAAATTGTGCTGCCTGTTGCTGCTGCTGCTGTTGTTGCTGCTGCTGCTGCTGTTGTTGCTGTTGCTGCTGTTGTTGCTGTTGCTGCTGTTGCGTTACAATGTTCATCTCTGGCTTTGGCAGCAGCGGATTGGTGGAAAATAATTCATAAAGTTGTGTTTGCATCGGTGGCGTTTGCTGTGCTGCCGCAGCTGCCAGTTGTCCCGGGGCAGCCTGTGTCTGCCCAGCTGTGGCGGCTGTCTGGTGATGTGGAAGCTGTTGCTGTTTCATTGATGCCATATTGATATGCTGAGCGTAAACATCGTTTACGGCGTTCTCGTGACACCGATAGACCTTGAGAAAATTGCCATGACCAACGGGCAGAACGGAGTACGTTTCGGGTTGACCAGGTGCGCTCGGATACGCTACTTTGTATAGGAATTCATTGTAGACATGCTGAGATGGAGCTGGCTGGGGTTGCGGTTGCATTTGTGGCTGATGCATATGTGGGGGTGGTGGTGGCGGCGGCTGATGGGGGTGGGGGTGGCCATGATGCGGCGGAAATTGTACACCCAAATGTGGTGGCCACATTATTGCCGCCTGACCCTGTTGCTGCTGATGCAACAAATGTTGCTGCTGCTGATGATGATGTTGTTGTTGTTGTTGGTGCTGATGCTGTTGCTGGTGCTGATGTTGCTGCTGTTGCTGCTGTTGCTGCTGTTGCTGCTGCTGCTGCTGCTGCTGCTGATGTGCCAGAAAGTTGGCAAATTCTGGGCTGTGTGGGGGCAAATTGTGATAGGCGGCGACAATCGGCTCATCGCCATCGATGATGCCACCGGAGCAGATGCGCTCATCCTGACGTGTCCGCGCCGTCATATCTCCCGCGACACAACGCTGGACAGCGTAGACCTCTGCGCCCAGCGCCTTTTCACGCACTGACTGACGCCTGACTTCTATTCGAGTTGCATGCGTTTGCTGCGTTTTTTTCGCTTGGCGTTGCAAGTTGGCAAGTTGGCAAGTTGCTCAAATGGTTTCCGATTGGCGATTGCAAACGATGCATGCACGAAAATAAATACGTTGCCACACTTCTTTTAACTAACTTTTAACACAAATAATATATTATGCTTGCGCGTGTGAGTGTATGTGGCACCAATGCCACTCACAATTCGCGCAAGCAGGGCTGCATAAAATATACATACGTTTATCGATTGATCGAATTTGCGAAATGGTTTTTGCATATTTTCAGTGGCAACAGCACCCATTCTTAAAACATCTGTATTAATTAGAATTTCTGGCTTTTTGAAAGCTTTTTGGTATTCATGTATAATGCTAATGATATACAAACTAGGTTATGTGCTTGTAATAGCTTAAGCTGTTTTTAAAATTTGTGTCTGATAGTGTTAACACACTTATTTTCTTAGAAATATATGAAGGCATAAAAAAGGCTAATAAATTTTCGAAATTTAAATTTTTGAAATGAGCATCCATTAACTGTAACTGTTACTTTCACTTCTTCAGCAATGCCAAGTTGAAATAGTGCTCTGTTAAGCTTCTGTTACGACTTTACCGCGCTGTTGACAACAGTTGAGCAACATGTTAAAATTCTGCATGTAAGAAAACAGACTGACAACCATTGGCGCAAAATTGAACTTTTTGATATATTTGCAATATAAAGACTTGGATGGAATGCCGACGGTTCAGCCATTTGTAACCGTTGTACGCGCTGGACGCTTGAGTTACGCAGCTGGGCTAAAGTTGCAGCAGGAGCTGGCAAAACAAAATGTGCAACAGTCCAGCGATTTTCGTAACTATCTGCTGCTCTTGGAGCATGATCCCGTCTACACAATTGGCATACGCACCAAAGGCTACACAGCACAGGACGAGGATCGATTACGCAAGCTGGGCGCCGATTTCCATCGCACAGATCGTGGCGGCCTCATTACATTTCATGGCCCAGGCCAATTGGTTGCCTATCCTATCATAAATCTGCGCCAATTCAAGCCGAGCATCCGCTGGTATGTTACCACACTTGAGCGCACAGTGATCGAAACATGCCGCCAAATGGGCATACCAAATGCAAGCACTACGCAGGACACGGGCATATGGGTGGGTGATCGTAAGATTTGTGCCATTGGTGTACATGGTTCTCGTTACGTCACAACGCATGGCATCGGTTTGAATTGCTCGACGGATTTGAAATGGTTTGAGCACATCGTACCCTGTGGCATCGAGGGCAAGGGCGTGACCTCTCTCAGCGAACAGCTGCAACGGCACATCAGCCTGTCTGAGGCAACTGCTGTGTTGCTTGACAGCTTTTCCAAGACTTTCGAGTGTCTTGTGCAGGAGCAATCAAAGGCACGAGTACAAAACTAAGAATATTACAGTATATACAAATATAAGTAAATTATTTAGTCAAAACGAGCTTTATTCAGGTCACATTTCTTGGCACGCCCATCGATATGCAGTTTCCCTCGCAGTTCCATCGCCAGACGGCCTTCCTCTCGCAGAGCTGCCTTTCGCATGCGGCGCTCCTGGCGTGACTCAACAGCACAATTTGTGTTAAAGTAGCGGTCCCGGAAGTCCTGAGTGGGCGCACCGCCTATGCTTTGTGAGGGGCAATCACTATACTCCAAATGTTTCTCGTAGGTGAGCAAACGACGCGCTGTGTTGCCCGCCAGCGGTTGCTCCGAGTTGGCCACCAACCGCAGATGCGTATGTTGAGGCAGCATTGTCTCATCGTAGTCATCGCTATAATTAATTGTGGTTGAAACGTGATCTGCTTGGATTTGTGCTCAGCTACTCACCGGTGAAAGGGCAGCCAGCAAACAAGGCGGCCGCCCAACTTTAAATGTGTTGCGCTAAACTGCAGCAGATCCGCATACAAGTTCTGCAGAGAATAGTGCGAAGTTGAAGGATAATGCGCCATTTCGGCTGTTCTTGTGTTCTCCTTAGCGTTAGACTTGTTCTCCACCTTTTCGGTTGCTTCGCGTATGCCGTATGGCGCTATAAATAAACAATTTGAAATGAATTGTCTGTTAAGGATTAAACGATAATTGCTGTACCCACGATCTGTGATTATGCTGTCGAAGGCGATGCGTGTCTGCCAGAGCGGGTTTGAAAAGTCTGCAACCAGAACATCCATATAGCGATCTGCACAGCCATACTGCTTCAGATTGGCCCGAATGCTCTCGTCCTTGTCGCGCACCTTTTGGCTAATGCGGCTGGGCCGGCATCGTGCGTGTATCATCATAAAATCAATGTCTGCACCAAGAACATAGCCTCCAAATTTGGCGGCACTAACCAATAGAGAGCCAGTGCCAACAAATGGATCGAAAACCAAATCACCATCACGCACCATTGCCTGATTTGCCATCAACAGGCTGAGTTGTGCGTCCATGCTGGTGTTGCCAATGAATTTGCGCTGTTTCAGTGAGAGCTGCTGTATTAAGTGCCGCTGTCCCTGTGTCAGCATACGTCCAAAGAGAATATCTTCGGGTGTGGCTGGTACAGCCGTGGCATCCATGCCCCAGAATTCCAAATACCACCACTCAACTAGCGGATTCTTGAGGTTAACAGCCCCTGCGATTGGCAAATAGTCCATGCTCTCGATCTTTTCAACCTTCTCCCGCTGGCTAAAGTGCTTGTTGTATGTCTCCACGGTTACCTTAAAACTATTCGCCTTAAAATGCACATTGAGTTCTCCTCGATGCAAGTCCACGTGAGCTCGCAATCGCTCATGGAATTCCGGAATTGTGTGCGCGTGAGAATAAAGCTCGATAATAGACCGCAGAGCGACCGAGCGGGAGGCGTACTGCAATGCTGTTTCATCATTCGGAAATTCCACCATCCAAAAGGGTTTCTGTAAAATATTTATGTTAGAAATATGATGGGATTTACACCGAGTCGGCATTCAGTTACCAAACGATGCTCTGTCAAATGACGAAATTGTATATTAAACAATTTAACAATCGACTCGAATTCTGCGACACGAAAATCAACGTGTTCCTGGGCAAACCATAGGATATATTTTTTCCATAACTTTGTCATTTTTCCAAATTATTAATATTCATTAGAACATTTACAAGTGCAGCATTTCTTTATTTTGCGTTATTCAGCTCTTAAAATATCGATTAATTTAGACGATCTATCGATTGAGCATACTGCATGCAACTCTGTCAGACGTCAAATCGGTCATTTTGTATAAATTTCGGAGGCACACGTAGGCGAGCTGAAGATTTTTATAAATTTTCTGCTTAAACAAGCCTCAAAGCTGTTCAAGCATAGTGAAAAAACCGAGTTAAAGGTCCTGTGCGTTAAATTGCAATCAAGTTAAGATGGCGCGTTACACCCAACGTCCGGAAAATGCTTTGAAGCGAGCCAATGGTAAGCTAATGAAAATTTTTCCATGCGGCTGCGAATTAGCTGGTGAAAGGGAAATGCCAAAAGTGGCTATCGCACAATTTGTCCGTGTTGCATTGTGAATGCCTATCCGTCTATCTCTCTCACTCTCTGTTTATCTCTGTCTTTCTGTTGTGTAGAATTTATTGAGGTGGGAAAACCTTTGCGTGCTCTGGACACGTTGCAGGAGGTTTTCCGCAACAAGAGATGGAACTATACCTACTCAGAGACGGTCATTGAGCCGCTCATGTTCAAGTATCTGTACTTGTGCGTGGAGCTCAAGAAATCGCATATCGCCAAGGAGGGTCTGTTCCAGTACCGCAACATGTTCCAGCTGGTCAATGTGAACTCATTGGAGAATGTGATTCGCGGCTATCTGAAAATGGCCGAGGAGCATACGGAGGCGGCACAGGCGCAATCATCGGCCGCTGTTGCAGTGCTCGAGTTAGATGATCTGGATAATATTGCGACTCCAGAGAGTATCCTCATGAGTGCCGTTTGCGGCGAAGATGCCCAGGATCGATCCGATCGCACTATTTTGCTGCCCTGGGTCAAATTCTTATGGGAATCCTATTGCCAGTGCCTGGAGCTGTTGCGTGTCAACACGCATTGCGAGGCACTGTATCATGATATTGCGCGCATGGCCTTCCAGTTCTGCCTGAAGTACAATCGCAAGAGCGAGTTCCGGCGGTTGTGCGACAAGCTGCGCAAGCATCTCGAGGACATCTGCAAGAGCAACAACCAAACGACTGGTGTCTCCATTACGAAGCCCGAGACGCAGCAGTTGTGCTTGGACACCAGGCTGTACCTGCTCGACTCGGCCATACAGATGGAATTGTGGCAGGAGGCCTACAAGGCCATTGAGGACATTCACGGCCTAATGGCCATGTCCAAGAAGACGCCGGTGCCCAAAACCATGGCAAATTATTATCAGAAACTTGCCATGGTTTTCAGCAAGGCCGGCAATCAGCTCTTCCATGCGGCCGCTTTGCTCAAACTGTTCCAGTTGACGCGCGAGCTGAAAAAGAATCTGACCAAGGAAGATCTGCAGCGCATGGCAGCTCATGTGCTGCTGGCCACACTCTCGATTCCACTGCCCTCGGCACATCCGGAATTCGATCGGTTCATCGAGGCCGACAAGAGTCCACTGGAGAAGGCTCAGAAGCTGGCCGTGCTGCTGGGTCTGCCCCAACCGCCCACACGTGTCTCTCTCATCCGTGATGTCGTAAGTGCAAATCAGGAAATCGGTAGAAATTCTGTTTCCTTATTGTCATTCAACTTTCCGCTTTGCAGGTGCGTTTGAATGTGCCCAATCTGGTGTCCGACGAGTTCCGCAACCTGTACAACTGGCTGGAGGTGGACTTCAACCCATTGAATCTTTGCAAGCGCATTCAATCCATTGTGGATACCATTGAGAGCACCGAAAAGGAGAATACTCTGTTAACGCCTTATATTCAGTCACTCAAGGATGTCACCATTATGCGCCTGATCCGACAGATCTCGCAGGTGTACGAGAGCATAGAGTTCAAGCGCCTCCTCGAACTGGCGCCCTTCTGCAACATCTTTGAGCTGGAAAAGCTGCTGGTGGAGTCGGTGCGTCACAATGATATGCAGATACGCATCGATCATCAGCGCAACAGCATCTTCTTTGGCACTGATCTAACCGAGAGCCAGCGCGAATACCGTCCCGATGGACCGGCCCTGCAATCGATGCCCTCGGAGCAGATACGCTCCCAGCTGGTGAATATGTCAACCGTATTGACCCGAGCCGTTTCCGTTGTCTATCCGAATCGGGAGCGTGACCAGCGAGCCAAGTTGCGCACCCAGATGGTGCAGCACTATCACGAGATTAAGGATCGCGAACATCAGCGCATCCTGCAGCGCCAGAAGATCATTGAGGATCGGAAAGAGTTCATTGAGAAGCAGAATAACGCCCGAGAGTTGGAGGAGGCTCGTCGCCACGAGGACGAATCACGCAAGGCCAAGCAGGCCGAGCAGAAGCGTCTGGAACAGGAGCAGGAGAAGCGCGAACGCAAGCGTCACGAAAACGAAATCCAAGCCATCAAGGAGAAGAGTCTCAAGGAGAAGGTGCAGCAGATATCGCAAACTGCGCACGGCAAAAAAATGCTCTCCAAACTGGATGAGGAGGGCATCAAGAAGCTCGATGCCGAACAAATTGCCATGCGTGAAAGCGAGGAGCTGCAGCGCGAGCGTAAAGAGCTCCAGTCCAAGATCAAGTCGCAGGAGAAGAAAATTGATTACTTCGAGCGTGCCAAGCGATTGGAGGAGATTCCGCTCTTCGAGAAGTATCTGGCCGAGAAGAATGTCAAGGACAAGGAATTCTGGGAGTCCACGGAGCAGACGCGCATTGAGCTCGACATTGCTGAGCGCAAGGACGCCGTTGCCCAGCAGGCTCGCCTTCAACGCATGTATCCCGATCGTGATGAGTATCTTAATGCCCTCAAAAAGGAGCGCGCCTCACTGTACGTGGAGAAGCTCAAGAAGTTTGAGATCGCGCTCGCCGAGGAGCGCAAGAAGCGTCTGGCCGATCGTATTGTGCGTCGCCGCGAGGAGCGCCGTCAGGCCTATTTGCGCGCCAAGGAGGAGGAACGCTTCCGCAAGGAGGAAGAGATACGCCATGCTCGCGAGGCTGAAGAGCGTGCCGCTGCCGAGGCTCGGCGCCTGGAACGCGAAGCAGAGGACGAGAAGCGTCGCCAGCAATACGAGAAGCAACGTGCCAAGGAAGAGGAGGCCGAACGCAAGATCCAAGAGGATCGCGATCGTCTCGCCCGCGAAGTTGCCGTCGAGCGTGAGCGTAGCGAAAAGGAGCGCGACGTCTGGCGTCCACGTGCCGAGCGAGCACCTGCTTCAGCCGGCGGCGCCAGTGAGTGGCGTCGCAATGCTCCTCCATCTGATCGCAACGATCGCAATGATCGCAGCGATCGCAATGATCGCAACGATCGCAATGATCGCAATGATCGCAGCGATCGCAATGATCGTAACGATCGCATTGATCGCAACGATCGCAATGATCGCAGCGATCGTAATGATCGCGGTGAACGCGCTGATCGTGGTGAGCGTGGTGAGCGCAAGGATAATGAAGGAGGCGCTGATTCATCGTGGCGAGTGCGTCGCGAACCCGAACCCCAACGTGGTGGTGGTGGCGGTATGGATCGCAGCGAGCGTGGTGGTGGCATGGAGCGTGGCGAGCGTGGAGGTGGCATGGAGCGTGGCGAGCGTGGAGGCGGCATGGAGCGTGGCGAGCGTGGTGGTGGCATGGAGCGTGGCGAGCGTGGAGGCGGCCTGGAGCGTGGCGAGCGTGGTGGTGGCATGGAGCGTGGCGAGCGAGGAGGCGGCGGCGCAACTGGTCGTGATGACAAGTGGCGTCGTGGCGGTGAACGCAACGATCGTCTCGGCGGCGACCGCGATCGTGACTCCTTCCGACGCAACGATGGGCCACGACGTGACGATGATCGCGGTGGCTTCCGTCGCGACGATCAGCCTCAACGTGAAACCGGCGGCAACTGGCGTGATTCGCCACGTCAGCCCGAACGCGACAATCGTCGTCCTGGTACCGGCGAGAGACGCGATGCCCGCGGTGCTGGAGCCAAGGAAGGTGGCGGCGGCGGCGGCGGCGGCGGTGGAGGTGGCGGTGGCGGTGGAAACTGGCGCACAGCTCCGGCTCCACGTGAAGAAAAACCCGCGCCCAAGAGAGAACAGCAGCCACAGGACAAGGGTGAGTTTGAAATGATAACAAAAAAATACCAGGAAAAAAACAATATATTCAAATAATTTTCCTTTCGCAGAAAATAAGGCAGCTGATGACGGCGAATGGACTAGCGTTAAGCGGCGTTAAAAATAAATACATAAAATATATCTTTCGCATTGTCGTCTATACACACAGCAATTCAAACAGTACCCATTTTTTTAATTATAATATATGTACACATAATTATTGTAATTGAAGCGAAATATGCGTTAATCTGATCCATAAAACACATTGGCCACGTTTAAAAAACAAAGAGAAAAATGACTTCAATAACAGAAGTTGTCAAGTCTTGTTCAAAATATACATATATTCGTATGCCAGCAGTCTGCCCTTGTTTTTTCAGATGCTGGCTTAAAATCAATACTAATAAATCTGATTAGCACAAATGTTCATTTTTTAAAGTATTTCAATTTAAATTTCAACCATATCTCGGAGAGTTGAAATCATTTGCAATGCATTCAAAACTGTAACGTAAGGCCAGATGGCGTTGATAGAAAATCATCGAGTTTATGTCGTCCAACTAAGCATCGATACCTTTAAAATCAAGTACACTTATTAAAGTATCGATATTTTACCGGCTACACATAACAGTAGAAGCGCTGTTTACAGCAATTCTTCTGTAGCTTATGAGTATGCCATAGCTACTGCTTAACTTAATCATGAATTTTCAACAGCTATTTTGAACTATTTATTAAACCATTTTATACCAGTAAAATATAACTAGTAACTGTTGTTTATTGGAATCAATTCGTGCTCGCTGTTAACAACAGTTCGATTTATGTTAACGTGATCGGTGGTTGTTCAACAAACAGCTGTAACGAAGAAAAAACGAGAACGGTCACATTTACCACATTAACTTATTCCCCGCGGTTCGCGTCCACGTGAACACATTTTAGCAATGTGATTCATAAAGTTATTAGATAAAAATCCTATTAAAACCGTCTAGTGTTTGATTAAATAAAAATTAAGATTAAATCATAAATAAATAATCAACATTTTTCAATAATTTTTTGAATAACTCATAAAGTGCGTGCGTTGGCTTTGCAGACGCGGCGCTTAACATGTGAGGTTAAAGCAGACAAACATCCAACAGCAACAAATATTAAGATACAATTTAAACAGTGTTTAACTAAACAAATATAACAAAGTGTCGTGCTTAATTCCTTAAAGGTAATGCCATAAGTGTTGCGAATCAAATACTCTCATCTAGTGACAGGTGCTCCAGCCGCCAGCAAGTGCAAATGATATGCGAGCTGTTTTAATTTGCATGGAACTGTTGGCGATGTCTGGCTTCGCATTTCTTCTGTTTCCTTTATTTATAATGAAAACAGCTTTCTAAACAAAACTGAGTGGGTGTGTGAGTGTGCGTGAAATGTGATAGTAAAGATTAACAAAAATCGGATACATTGTTTTTAGGCATCAGCATACATACACATTCACAAATACACACTTAAATATGTTAACAAAAAAAAGCACATGGTGCGGCGGCGGCACTCACACACATGCATTTGGTCTGTGAGTGTGTTATGTGTGCGTCGTGTATATGTGTGCCATGTGTGTGTGTGTGTATTCGTGCGGTGTTTCTTGTTATTGTTTTCGTGTTGCCAGCGAGTGTTTTAAGTAGATTTGCTATTTCGCATAGTAATGATATAAAAATAAGTAAAATGTTGATTTTTTAAGTCTGGAAAAAACCATAAAACATTTAATTCAAATGTTTAGGCGGCATACGCAAAATGCGGCATGGCGAATACAGAGACAACAGCATGTTGCTCAAAACGTGCCACGCTGCTTATTGCTGTTTCCTTTTCAACTAATTTTCGGTGCACTTCTAGCGTTGCCAACTTGTTGAAGTAGGCCCGCCAAATTGAAAGTTATCGATTTTGAATTCGTATGCACGTGGATGCAAATGTTTTACAATAGTCGGTCAACAATTTGAATAAATTGTTGCAAACGGAAACTCAGTAAGAAAAATAAATAAATTGCGAATTCTTCAATTGCGACCATTCGGGCAGGGCCATTAAAGATTCAAATTTATTCGGTCTTCATGTAGGTCTTTTAGAGTCACTAACCCCAAGTTATCTGATCACATTTTCTCAGATGTTTGTTTTAATTTTTTGGTTGTCTAAAGATAAATACAAATGTTTAAACATGTGTTTTCAGTGCTGTCTGAATTCTATGTTGAATACAGTTCAATTTATTTGTATTTTACTTGTTTCGGTAAATATTTTGTACGTCGTGGTTCCAGCATGTTCTCCTTATCCCTCATCCGCTGTAATATCTGATTTCGATTCCTTACCAGCTCCTCCAGCTGCCGTTCCAATTTATCGGTGATGCCAGTCTGGAGCAACACGGTATCCTGAACGTGCACATTTTTGGCTGCCAAATTGTTGAGCTGTGCGGCCAACTGGGCATCGGTGCCGGTGAGCACTAAATAGCCAGTATTGCCAATGATCATGGGTGGAGGCACATTAACTGGTTCCTCAGACTGCTGCTGAATATCGATTTTGACTGAAAGCGTAGCTTTCCCGGCACTTTTCAGTTTGATCATCTTTGTTTTTGTATCAAATGTTACGGATTTCGATAGTTTGTTTGGGTTGGGTGACTTTTGATCAGATGTAATATTATTTTTTTCGGGGTTCTTGGAATTTTGTTTGGCATCCGGTGTGATATCTTTTTGGGTTGCCTCATTTATTTGTGTTTTTGGCTTGTCTTTCTTCACGGGCTGTTCTTTTTTGACCATCTTGCTGGATTTTGGATTCTGGCCATGATTGTTTTTATTCAAGAGCTTCCTTTTCGCCTGCAGCATTGCCGCAATACGTTGCCCATTGGTCACAGACGGTGGCGCCAATTCGCCCTCCTCTGATTGCTGGGATTTAGGGGTAACATTTCGGGATGGGGGTGTAACGGAATGACGATGATTGCCAGGACGCTTGCCAGGATTCTTGCAGCAATTTTTCCCATTCGATTGATTTTTTCTGGCCAACATTTGATTTATGACCACTTTGCAGAACTCGCAGCTGCATTGTTGATTCAATTTGGCGTCTTCGTTGTCATCCAGTTGGACGCCATTGGTTGAATTCGTTGGATCGGCCACTTTTGCCGTTGGCTGTTTGTGATTCATTTTCTTATTGAACGCTTTGGATAGTTTCTGAATTTTGTTGAATGTTGCAACTGCTTGACGTGTCAAAGACTTGCTAAAGGAAATCGGCTCGTTGCCCGGCGTTGCTGGCGACGGAGGAGGCAGCATTAAGCCGGGCGCAATATTCGTCACCATATTCATTATTTCAGACTTTGTAATCTTGTCCTCCGCCACGATTGACGTTCGTTCCGTATTTGTGACAACGCCACCTGCTAACATCTTCTGCGTCTGCAACGGCTTTGGCTTGCAACACTTGCACGACGGCTTGTAGTTCAGCGCGCCCACCGGCCGGGCACCCAAATTCTCGATCTGCGGATCCGTGGTGCTTAAGTGTGAATTTCCCTCCGCCTGACGCTTGGCCTCGGCCGCTTTGCGCTGACGTCTCGTTATAACCTTTTTGGGCATATTCCACTTATCGCCAAATTTGAAATAAATATTTTTGAAAATATTTTTCATGAAAATTGGTTACGCCTTTAATCGAAGTGTTCGTCTACACACTTTAATTCACTTCGAGAAAATGGGCACATTTTCCTTTTGATATGTGTCAAATGAGCTTTGACAGATAAATTACAAATCCTGCTTGGATCTTAGAAAACCCATTTACGACAAATGATTAATTCAAATACAATGGAAACGTGTTTCAATTTATTTGTAGTGCAAGAAAAATGAAGGGATATATGTTAATTTGATAAATATATAAATTATTTTGATATATAGTAAATAAATGTACCATTTAATAATTGTAGATTGTTAATGAACTCACATATTATGGATTCACGTATGCTAAATGTGTTTCACGAGGATCCTTTCGAGGGGAACTTTGTCAAATATGATCCAGAGCCGAATTTCTGGTCTACCAATGATGAGTACGTCAATTGTTGTTGAACTTCAATTCTCAATACTTACACCCACATTTATTTCTGCAGTTTGCAGTTGACGGACACACTGAATGGCATCCTGCCCATTGACCCCACAGATGAATCACTGCTCAGCCAAAGTGAGACAGAGGTGCAGCTACAGAATAGTAAAAACTTGGTAAAGTTTTATATGCACAGCTCTTAGTTAAAGAGAATTTCGATTAATGTTGCGCTTGCTCTATTTTTTTTTATCATACTTCAGCTCATCTATAGCGATTTTATGGATCATCAGCTGAGCGACGATGCTCACGTGCTCAATGATCAACAGCGTAAGCTGAGTGCACTAATCGATTTGGATGAGGAGGAGGATGAGGCTGTTGCCGTCATTAGACTAAAGGGCGACGATGACGTGCATAGCCAGTGCAGCAATTCAACATTTCGGACACGCACCGACAGTTCTTCCATTGGAGATTATGAGTCGCACTCAAGCGACTACGATGATGAGATTGAGGGCGTCAATGATGAATGTCTGCTATCCACCGATGAATTTGCAATGCAGGAAGAGCGCAAGAATCGCACGCTTAGCACCAACACAATTGGCTCCGATGCGGATGCGTTTGGTCTGAACATTGATGTGAACAACTTTGATTTGGCCGAATTTATCACTAAAGATGATTTCACAACAAATGCAGCAGTTGCCGCAATTCCTATCAAATTCCAAACAGCCATAGTCAAACTCAAGACACAGCCAACCATTGCAGCTAAAAGACCAGTCGCTCCGCTGCCCAAGGCCGAGATTATATCTTCCAAGAGTCGCGACTCTGATTATGACTCCGATTCCATCATCGATGTGGAGACCGTCGATGTGGATGAGTCTCGGTGGGTGGCCAGACAAGCTGTAGAAAACTCTGCGGCTGCAGATGATTTATGCTATGTGGACAATGTTAAGGATGATCCATCATGGTGTCCCAAGCAGCAGGCTAAGCGGTTAGTCGCCGCTGAGGTGAGTACAAAGTGGTGAGAGACGAATGATGTGGAGCGTGTAATTCATTCTTCCAATGCTATCTCCACATAGCACAAGACACCGACGCCGACCAATCCGATGGCATCCAAGGTAACAGTCGCTCTAGCAGTACCTTCACAGGCAAGCACAGCAAAGCCAAAGGCAACCAACAACATTTGCCTGGTGCCCAACAAAAAGCAGTGCGACTTTCTTAAGCGCAAAGTGGGCGCCAAGATGGTGGGCAACCACAGCATGCCCATCAAATCCAAAGTGTCGGCTAAGAAAATTCATGAGGCTACCAAATCCACAACTCCCAAGCAGCAGACCAAGCCGGCGGAGTTGCCGGCCACGAGGCCTGCAGGCCTGGGATTGGGCGGCAAGAATTTGGCGCTGCTTAAGCAAGAGCGCGATGCGTCCACTGACGCGGTCCATCCTGTTGCAGCAACGATTGCGCCCAAGCGCAAGCTCAACCTCGAGGAATACAAGCAACGGCGCTGTGGAACAATTTTACCTGTAAGACCGACGACGATAACGCCGGCATCTGTGCCATCCAAGCAGGCCAAAGTGGAGACGAGCAAAGTGTTGGGCACAGCACCTGGGCAGAAGGCGCATCCATCACCCCAAAAGGCGGCCATTAGCAGCATTGTCAACAGTCTAAAGAGCCCAGTGGTGCAGGCAGCAGTTCCCACAGATCCCATTACAGCTGCCAAGAACAAAGTGCTCCGCATGCTGGAGATAAAGCGTGCGCAGCAGCTGAAGATTATAGATTCGCGGGTTACGGCTAAGGTGCCACGTGTCACAAAACTGCCGCCGCTCAAGGACATTGTTAAGGACACCTATTACATGATTGAGTCTGAGTCGCAGCCAGAGACAGCACCTACACAGGTCGCGGGGAACAGCAAACTGCTGGCCGACTATGAGGAGATCATCATCGTGTCAACCAGTTGCAATACAGACATTACGATACCGCCGCTTCAAGCAAGTGTTGCGCTCCGGGACAACAGGACAACCACACCATCGTCGCGCTCGCTGCTGAAATCGTCGGTGCTGTTGTACAACATATCGAACGGTAACGAGGCGGGCAAGGATATGACAAACTCACTGATAGCCAGCATACAGTGTGAGGTGGTCAAGCAGACCAATTGTGTTGCGCTAGCAACAACGGCAACAACAGCAGCAACAGCCAGTACAGGAGTTAAGTCTTCGGATAAGAATACACAGCATGGCGAAGATATGGTCATCATGCATCTGGCCAAGAATCGGGTGCGCAAGCGTATGGTCTCCATGGGCACCCAAACGGAACTGCAACCCGAATTTCCACTACTGACGTTGCCAACGACGCGTCAATCGCGTGAACGGACGCGTCGTGTGTATCGCAAACGTCTCCACGAAGGCAACGCATCAAATGACTCCAGCTGCAGCTCATCCTCAGCATGTAGCAGTATAGCCTCGTATCGTTCCCGTTCCAATTCCAATTCAATGGAACGTTTGCGCCACTCGGACGCAACAGCTGCCTGCGGCAGCAGCATCGGCGGTGGCGGTTATTCATCGCGCAGCACACGTCGCCATCGCAGTTCGGTGAGTTCCTCGTCCTATTCGGAGGCTGGCAAGTACGAGCGCCAGCAGCGCCAACGTCGCACTAGCTACAACAAGCGACGTTTTAAAAATCGGGCACATGACACTTGCTCCACTTCGGGTTCAGAGTACAGTGATCGGGAGCGCAGTCGCAGTCCGCAGCGACGCTCACGTTCGCGTTCCACGTCTGCCACACGCTTTGGCAACAATAACAAGTGCAACAACAATAGTAACAACAACAATAGACGTGGATTTGTTGATCGCAATGTATCACAGCCGGCTGTCGAGGAGCGTCGCATCGTCTACGTGGGCCGAATTGAGCCGGATACCAACAAGGAGCAGCTGCGTCGCAAATTTCTACCCTATGGCAGCATCAAACAAATAACGATACACTACAAAGAGAATGGGTAGGAGCGCTACGATTGAAATGGCGGCAACGATTGCGATTGTAATCTTGTTTTTGATTTTTCATTTAATTAAACAGCATGAAGTATGGCTTTGTGACCTTTGAACGTGCGCAGGACGCATTTACGGCCATAGACACGAGTGCCAGGGATGCCCAAATCAATATGTATGACATTAGCTTTGGCGGACGACGCGCATTCTGTCGCGCTTCGTATGCAGATTTGGGTGAGTTGACAATCGGGTTTGTTTGTGTTGGAGAGTTGTAATTTAATATTGAATCGCTTAATTTGCAGACAATGCGGGCATCAACAACTACCATTCGTACGTGTTTCCCAAGGCAGCACCAGCACAAGCACCACAGGAGGATTCGTTTGAGGCACTCTTGCTCAAAGTGAAGGCAAAGTTAAATGCCGGCAAGCCAGCTGCATCCGTTCAAACAACGCCAGCAGACCAAGAAGCTGTAACACCAACACCAACTGCAGTTGCCAATTTGGACGGCGATAATAAAAACCAAAATATGAATAACAGTCAAATTTGACATCTTTGCTGCATTTTGCAGATTGATGTATTGTTATTTTTATGATTTGCCAGAAGTTTTTCAGTTCATATTTAGTATCCCTACAACGATTTTCTTTTTGTATAGACCCTGAAGTTTCTAACTGCTCAACCGAAAGCCTGATTATCATTCATAACTCTTCATTATTATTTATTATAAAATAGTTGACAATACACACACCCTACACACACAAAGTACACACATGAAACATGTACAATTCGCGCTGGGATAATTTATAAATTTGATTAGTGCAGAGATTTGTCGAGTTTACAACCTACAGCGAATTAACAAATATGAAATTACTAAATGAAATTGTGATAAACGCGTAATGCATACAAAGTCATTGATTGCATATAAGTTAGCTGAAGCCACATACAGAAATTAATATTGTAAAAATAAAAGAAGATGAAACAATTGAAATGCAAATTGAAGTAAATAGCCATAACGTAACAACCGAAGCAGCGATCCCAAAATGGATAATAGCTAATATTTACCACATGCAACGTCTCTAGAAGAAATACAATTAAAAATACATATAAGTATATTCGATTGTATTGTATTCATTGTATAGAACTATGTTGAGAGAGCAAGGCACGCGCGCATGCTGCATGCGACGGTCACAAATTAAACTGTTGATAACTAAACTTTGATATTAGTTTGTAAAAGGAATATTTTGTACGTACGTAATTTTAATTTACTGGATACGATTTTTTTTTGTAAAGCACTGAACTAATCTATCAACATTTCAGCAAAATAAAAGGCTGCATTGAATTTCAAATTTACCTGTGTAATTGCATGCAAATCGCAGGTGAATACAATAACAGCAGCAACACACAAAATTACAAAACAAAAAAATATGAAAACAATATATTTATAATTTAGCTTGCATTGTTTGATTTCGTATATAAACTAAACTAAATTTGTAACTCATTTATAAATTTGATAAAAACTTTGCTAATCGCCCAATAATAAACAGGGTGAATCAGCCTTAGGTCAGATACACAATTTTCTACTTATGTAATTTGATTTAGTAAATTGCTATTCCCAAAGCAGAAGTCACTTTTTGTTAATGGAAAGGGAAACTCTTAATAAGCGAATGCAAATTTTTGTTTAAGTTTTTTTATACTACTCTTTTTTGAATAATTTAATAAATGCGATAGTTTCTGCAAATTGAAAATGAAATGTGCTTTTTGAAATAACAACTACCATGGCTTAGTTTGCAAAATACCATCATTTCTGTGTATTTGGCTGGCTAATTAATAGCTCGTTGCCCAAAATTGTCTTTTTAACGCACTGCTGAGTCTTTAAAATATCAGAGTTCTCGTTCGGTGAACAAATTTAAAATTTAATGAGAGAATTCAAGGCAGTTCTTTTAAGCTTCCTTAAGGCAAAAATTTCTTTAAATTTCGCTTTTAAATTCGCAAGAATTATATTTTCAAGCGAAATTTTGGTGAAATATAACCATGTCGTCTGCTCTTAGACTTGTAAACGGCTTTAGGCTATTTGGCGTTGTTGTATGACTGTTTGAAACATGTGGCTTTTAGTTAAATATAACTTTTCGCATGATGTCCCAAATAATTCACCTGCTTTTGCCGCCACTTTATGGGGCAATGTCTTTAGCTTCTGCCTTTGAACTCTGTTGCCAAGCCAGAAATTGTTGAAGCTTTAAACGGAGTGCAGATAATGTGCTCAATGTGCTGCTTACATAAATATTTATTTATTTTTATGAACACGCCGTATTATGTAACTGGTGTATCTAAGATATATAAATCTATATGTATGAATAACTCGAGTCCCTTATAAGTATTGGATTTGCGCTTTGAGGTTGTTTGTTGGATTGCACAAGAGTTTTTTCTACTTGGTTGAATTTAAAATGTTTATTTTTGTAAGCCATAAATATTTACAACCAGCCCATATAAATACAAAGAATAAAATAATAATAATAATTTGATTACAAAATTCATTTTATAAAGCTGCTAGATTACATTTCTATCTGAATATATATATAAATATAAAAATATGTATATACACGTATGCAATACAGATAGATACCTTATTCAATTTTCTTAAAAGCCATTGTGTTTGCAGATTCACACTTATATTGAGGGGGACTGTCTGTCCCACTCGTCAATCGCGGCCAAAATCGATAAAAAAAAATCATATTCAATCGTCCAAAGGATCCATCAACAAAATGGCAACTGTTGTTGGCGGCATTTACCGACACAAAACGCTTAACTCCCAACGTTCAACACCCCAGCGCCCATTTGCATACTTAATTTAAGATGTCAAAGAAATCAGAAGTTTCAGTCCCTAGACAAAATTCTAGCTTCGTTGCGTTGAATATTCATCCGCAAGGAGCCCCTCATGATTTCAAATCAAACACTCTGTTCTCAAATTTAAATTTGTAAGTACCTTTTGCAGATTGTGTGTGTTGCCAATGGATGTGCAGGTGTGCGTCATAGTTTGTGTGTTGGCTTTTACTCAAATTGTAATTAATTTCACTGCTCTCGATCAGGCTTGCATTTTGATTTTTTTTTGCATTTTATACTCTTTCCACTAGGTTCTTGCTGTGCAATCGATGCTGCTCATGTGCTCATCACAAGAGCTTAAGTTATGTGGCATTGACAGTGGCAGCCATCAAAGTGCACCATCATCTGACTTCATTATCATTTTCCACATGGGCGTCGTATCTCGCTTTTAACGTCAGTTTTGTCTCGTCAGCACATTACTTTCGTGCCTTTTGTCTTTGGCCAAGCAGTGAGTTAGACGAGTTCAAGCGAAAGCAAACGACTTTGTCAGAGTTCCAAGCAAAGCATAAAACAATGAGTGGCATTGTGATGAGTGTCTGCTAATGATGCTATCGCTCATTAAACTCATAAAAAGATATAGCCATGGTGTTGGCGCCAAGGATAACTTACCTTATTATTCAGAACGTATATTTGTGTCTCTCTAAAAACTATGATTTTTCTTTTCTTAAATCCATGTTGTGTACACAATATTATGAATTTATTATACATTAGTATTTTAAGAGTTCAAATATAATAATTGAAACATTTTAGACAATTTATAGATTCATAAAATTGAATTTCAAAACAACTACAATTTCAAGCTTTACCAATTTTTATTTTATGACCATTTTATTCTGAGTGTAACCATCTCTCATTAGTATCTTTCTTGCAAATCACATTTGGAACTGAGAAAAAAACTCTACAAATATGACTCAGAAAGCTATTTTAAGCAATTTATTTCAGATCTTAAGCCATAAAGGCACTTGACTATCTTATAATCACGACCAACTCGAACTATTTCAAACAAGCTAAGCTGATTACATGGCATCATTTGTACAAGAAGATACATTGTGTCCACAATTAAACACGTAATGTGTGCACACTGTAAAGTAAGTATTCTTAATCTACACTGCAATTATTTATATTCTAAGAGGTGCCTTTAGTTTGAGTTATTGAAAATGTTTTCGTTGCATAAATTTGCAAAACTTTATTCAAACATTTTCTACAAACTTTTCAAGGGGTATAGTTATCTGTTGTATCCTTTTCCTGTCCAAGTCATTTGACATCTAAGAAGAGTTTAGACTCAACAACAAGTGAGTCCCCTTTTGAGCAGACTTCAAAGGATTGCAGGGATCAAACCTCTTTAGCAATGCTCTTTGCCTCAGCTGTGTGACTATGATTGCTGTCAATGCTTCCGCTCGACTACAAAAACAGTTACTGTGGCAACAAGAACAACAGTGCCACACAAAACAACAGGGACGATTACAAACAAAGAACACAAACCTCACTGCATTACTCTCTTTTGGCTTTTAACAGTAGCCAATAATGTCAAAAAGCCGATTTGTTCTGCAATTTTCACTTGTGTGTGTGGGTGTGTGTGGGTGTGTGTGTTCTTTTGAGCTCTGTTCGTGTGTTTGGATTGATATATCCTGTCACTGTGGTTATCATTCGTATACTGTGTGTTATTACTTTCGGCTTTTAAGCATGCTCAGTCAACAAAAACACGAAAGCAAAATCATAAACCAGAATGCTCTACTAGCAGATACCCTCTAATGAATTTTGTTTTCCTTTTTTCTTCTTTGCTGAGCGTATTATACTTTTGTGTGAACTTCCACTTCAATCTGATTATGCTAATATCTGAGAACCAAAACGTGTGAAAACATTTTTACCGGCGAGCGAAGTAAATAAATTCGAAACGAGAAAATCATTGTCTTCTCGAAAACTACAGATACAATTCGGATATCCTTTAGGCAGTTGGTAGTTCTGGTCAACCGCCAAGATCTCGAATTAAGTCGGCAGGTCAAGTATAAAATTACACGTGCACTTAGTTCTTGAAATATTTTTTGTTGCCAAATTTGGATAACAAAGGCAAGTCTACTTACAGTAAAATCATTTTTTTAAGCAACAGCATAAGCAAATGGCGCCGATGATTTATGTAGTAGTCTCTTGTATAGACACTGTGTATAAAGTTAAGAACTGGAACGGAAAAGAGAGCATTATCCATATAAAGTTTCTGTGTTGCTCTTACGTCAGTTATCTTTCTTTCAATAACCAAAAGACAGCTTTGTTAGAAAATGACTATGAATTGCATGGAAATTATTGTTTTTGTAATTTAAACACTTGGCGACACTTATTAAAAGCAACGACACCCCAAGGATGAACCCAGGATAAACATTTGCAGGGTCGCTGCTGTATATAATTGTTTATATAAAATCGCAACGGCTGCCAGCTGCCAGCTGCCATCTGACTCAACTCACATGATTTGATGGTGTCATTTTAATATAGAGTCGCCAAAGTTGCCGCCTGTGCCAACTCAAATGATTGTCATTTCAATTGTGCAATTGTCTGTGCCGCGGACAATGGCGCTTGGAAGGGAGCACGGTTCGTATGCGCAATGAAAATAAATGGTTGACACTGTCGTCGCTGTAGTTGTAGTAGTTGTGCGATTGCAAAACAAATTAATTGCATTTGTATTCCATCGCTGTCATGCTGTCATATTCGCAACTGAACAATAAATAAATAATGCACAAATACAATATAGCCGGAGTCCAGGAATCCAAATGTCACTGCGATTGTTTCAATACTCTCCCCACATTGCATTGCAGCATATATTCAATTCTATGGGTATTTAAAATGAAAACACTCCATACATAACTCATTGAGCGATATGTATATGGGTTTTTAATGTGTTTAGAAGTGAATCAGTATTCAGCCCACAATTCCATTAAGCTAGTATTTGGTTTTATTCTGTGCCATCTGATTTAGTGTTGAATAAATATTTGCATTTTAATTATAAATTTTACCCTGGGCTCATTTCGTATAAGAGCATTTATAATTGAATATGTTTGGGATTAATTAATATATACAGAATGTCACGTGAACATTGTCGATATACCCAATGGGGAATTGTGT